ATTTTATTAAACCTTTCAGTGTAATTTTATAGACTTAATGTCAATAAAATATTAAGTTGACTTTTTTTTTAGTTTTCTTTATTTTTGATATGCCTAGAATTGCGAATGTACCATTTGCATGCTTAATGCTGGTATGACACTGAATGCCATCGCTATGAATATTGGATATTCTACACAAGCTATTCTACACCTTAGGCAACGTTTTCAAGATCAATGGTGTACAGAAGATCAACCATGAAGTGGACGTCCTTGTTTAACGCTTGCCCAAAACAGCATTATTTGGAACACCTACCTGCAATCGCTTCCAAACTCCAACAGCTACTGCTGCTAACACCCCTGGTACACATAACAACTGTTTATCTACCCAATTTGTGCCCAATCGCATGCGCAAGGGTAGGCTACATGGACGTCAACCATACATTGGTTGTGTTTTTAGGCGACATCACTGCATAAATTGTGTTAATAATTGGGTACATATATACCCATGCTGGCTTAGACAACAATGGAATAGTGTTCTTTTCTCTGACAAGTCGAAGTTTTCCATTCATCAAACTGATGGACTGATGGCAGAGTTGGTGTATCCCTCAGGAGAAATGACTGTTTTGCTGACTGCTGCATACTTGAATGAGATTGTTTTGGGAGTGGATATTCTGTCTTTGTCTGGGCAGGCTTTGCAAATGGCTTTCGCACTAATCTTGTAGTTATCTAAGGTAATTTGAATGCCCTACGCTAACAAGTTTAGATTCTTGTAAGGCATGTTATCCCACTGTTTCAAAATAAAGCTTATAACATTGTATTTGTTAATGACTGGCCTGCCAAAAGACTTGATGTAAAACCCATTGAACACCTTTGGGACAATTTGGACCAGTGTGTTAGACGTCGCCATATTCCACAGTCAAACATCATTCAGCTAAGACAAGCCTTGATTCAGAAATGAAACAACATTCCACAAGCCGAAATCAATACGCTGATCTGTTCTATGCGTCAACGATGCCAGACAGTCCTTCATGCTGAAGGTGGCCAATATTATATGGTCGACCCCTTCTGCATTTTAACTACCATTTCAATACTTTTGGATAAACCCTCAGCAATATTTTTTTTCTCAAATAATTGCAATAAATAACTCTTTCAATACATATAAATCGACTTCAATCCTATTTTCATATTTATGTATACCTGCACTTAAATGCAGGGGAAGTTTTTTTTGTTTAGTATATATTAACAACTCAGTCTTACTTTGCAAGCAATTATCATCTTTTCATTTTTAAATCTGTCCTTTATCAATTCTTGGATATCAAGATGAAAATTTTAAGTTAGCAGAGCTTGGTTAGACTGCATACATATGCAAGCTTGTCTGGCTCTATAGTTGTTGGCAAAGACTAATTACTTTCAGTTCCAGAAGATTAAGGGCTATAGGGGTTATAGTCCAAATAAGTGGACACATTACAATTTCCTCTGTAATGAAAAATAATTATTATTGAAAACACTGTTCTCTTAAAATTTTCCTTTAATTCAGGGTAAACAGGTAAATTATATAAGTCTAACTAAAGTAAATATGACATTTGGCACTTCATTATAGCCAAGGATTTACCAGTTTATCTCAACAGCAACCTGCATAACCAATTAATAAATTCTGTGTTTCATATACTATACTTAGAAACATCAATTTCCCGGGGAAAAAAATGGAAAAAAATCAACTCCTTTGCATTATATAGATCTTCAAATCAGAAAACATAAATAGAGGGCATTTTTTTATATACATTTTCTTTATAAATGATATGATGAATTATGAAGAGGTTTTTTTTTATATTTTTTTGTAAATATTACACTGTACTATCTCTTTTCCCATTTATTATTTCAACACATGAAAATGGACAAAAGTAAATGATCATCAGAAGAGTATCTGTTTACATAAAAGATATGTTTCATATTACTTTAATATTACTATCATTTTAAACAAAGCCAAGATTCACCCTTGATGCCCCCAAATGTGACATCAAATATTTATTAGGTGTTTGCTTGGATATAGAAGTTCAGAATATTGAACCCCACAGTCATCAAGCACGCTGTTCCCAGTAGATTATCTGCTGGCCTTGAATTACAATGAGCTATAAAACACACCAAATATGTGTAGACACCAGACATATGTGTAAAAACCAGACATATGTGTAAACATCAGACATATGTGTAAACACTTAAATAATGAGGTGAACCAGCTGTCAAGATTATTTTTATTTCAAATGTCACATCTACAGTGTGCTTTAACATTCTCAGTGCTTGATAGTAAAATAAGGCAGGGATAATTTCAAATCATAAAGGGGAATAATTCAATAAGAATTTATGATGCAGTTATATATCTTGGTCGATACAATTCGGACTACAAGTTTCAAGGCAAATTACAACAGCTAATGAGAAATGAAGCTGCATAGAAAAGGGACGCCACTGAGGTTTTATTGACACAAGGGACTGGAAATAATTTTTTCAGACTACTTAAGCAAGAGGCTGGAACCATTTGAACAACTTAAATAGGGGAACCAAGGATCATTCCTCTGTAGTTTGGTTAATTATCCAGTTATTGGTTTCAGAGGAGATATGAGCCCTGTCATGACAAAACCAACATAATGGGTTTGTGACCAGCATGGATCCAGACCAGCCTGCGCATCCGCGCAGTCTGATCAGGATCCATGCTGTTCGCTATCAGTTTCTCTACTTGCTATAGGGTTTGTAAGCGAACAGCATGGATCCTGATCAGACTGCGCGGATGCGCAGGCTGGTCTGGATCCATGCTGGTTGCAAACGCACTACACTGGTTTTGTCGTGACACGGCTCATATTGTTTTAAGAAATTTTTAAAGACCAATGACACACAACCAGTGTCGGACAATGACAGGTGCCAGACAGAGAGGGATCACAAAAGCTCACCATGAGCATGTTGTGCTTAGGTGAGCTAAAAAGTTACAGCTTATGGAAACTGATACAGATGGATTATAGATCCTACTTTCACTTCATCGTGACCTGAAAAATTTTTTCTTTTAATTAATTTGTCCTATTTCCAATACATCTACTATAACGCTCCAGTTAACTCTCCTAACAAAATCAGTACAATAATAATTCTTAAATTAGGAAAACATATATATTCTTCCATCTTTCAAGTTAATGTTTTTTTAATGTACCGTATAAGTGGTTTTTTCTGCGGTGACTTTATTTCTGCGTTTTCTGCGGTCAGTTTCAGCACCGCAGAAATAACAAGAGCTGTCCGTAAGACAGCGCGCTCGACTTTTTTATTGCTTGCCAATAAAAAAAGTTTTTGCAGTAAAAGGCAATACAAGAATCTCTGTATTTTTAAAGTGAACTAGTTGTTTGATACCCTTGAATATTACAGCAATGTTTATATGACATAATTTATGGTAAAGTGAACAAGTGGATAGGAATGAATTTTTTTAGATTTTTTAAGTTTTTTAGTGCTTGCCTATAATACAAAACATTGACAGTTAAGGGCCATAATTCAAATAAAATCTTTGACAGAATTACCTTCTCCTGGACATGTTTGGGAATCATGATTGTAAACAAGTATTCCAACTTTCAAATTAATATCTCAAACAGTTCAGTCAAAAAGTGGACTGGTACTAAAAACTTAACCAAGATTCTAAGTCGATAAAAGGCCTTAATTTTTAAAAACAAATCCTTGACAGAGTTACCTTCTCTTGCGTACAGATGGGGGTAATGATGTGAAATAGCATTAAAAGTTTCAAAGCAATATCTCAAAGGGTTAAGGCAATAAGTGGATTTTACCCATATTCAATGTATTTTCTAAGTCAAAAAGGGGCATAATTCTGTCAAAAACCTTGACAGAGTTATGTCCTCTTGTCTGTTGATGAAGGTCGTGATGGTAAACAAGTATGGTCAGTTTCAAAAGCAATACCTCCAATGGTTTTTGAAATAAAGTGAGGTGGTACAAAAAACTTAACCAAGCTCAATACACTTTCTAAGTCAAAAAAGGGCCATAATTCTGTCAAAAACCTTGACAGAGTTATGTACTCTTGTCTGTAGATGGAGGTTATGATGGTGAACAAGTATGGTAAGTTTCAAAGCCATACTTGTAATACTTCTGAAATAAAGTGGGGTGGTACGAAAAACTTAACCAAGGTGTGACGCCAACGCCGACGCTAACGCCGACGCCGGGGCGAGTAGGATAGCTCCCCTTTTCATAGAAAAGTCGAGCTAAAAACCGCAGAATATTTCTCCATGTATTTTAACGATATGTGTCCCACATTATGACCTGTTTTCTGACTAACGGATTATAACGGTTAGAGGGCCATCGAGTTATATAAAATTGCTTTAAGCCAAGTATGTAATATGTGCTTGTAAGGATGAACCTATTGTAAATTATGCCAATTTATGAATAAAGATATTTAAACATCATAGTGTTTGCCTGTACGCTATAAGGTTTTTTTACCACTAAATCATTAAAACCATTTTAACCCTTGTACTGCTAAATAATCGTCGTATACATTAATTGTTGTCTGATTTACGATAAACTTCTATTAATTTTATTAAATTAAAGATACTACCGGGGTGGTATATTTTTCACACGTCTTTTCACGCAGATCAAAAGATGCATACTGTCTATTGTTGCGCATTATATTTGTTTGCAAGCAAACAATATAATTGTTTGTAATTACTAACAATATAACTGTTTGTAATTACTATATAGTTTTGCGGTGACGACGATAAACAAAAATTTAATGCGAATGTGTACATGCAAATAAAATAGGTAGAGTAATGTGACTTAGACTTTGATAAGATGAGCCGCAGAATTAAAATCACGTTTTGTCCAAAAGATGCGCCGCAGAAATAAAGTCCGCAGAAATAAAAACATGCCAAAATTTGGAAAAACCGCAGAATTTGGAGCCCGCAGAAAAAACCACTTATACGGTATTAAAGTTTATTATTGTTATTTGGATATATTGCAGTGTAATGCATGTAAAGTGACAAAGTTACCTTTCTGTACAAAGTGTTTGATCTTGAGGTAACAAGTTGTCAGTTTAACAACAGCGGCCTTGTCCATTTTATTGAGGATCTCATCTTCTACAGGTAACTCGTTCATTAACTGTATCATCGCATCATGCTCTTTATCACGACGTCCTTTAGCAGCAATTTTAGATTTCTCTCCCCTGAAAAATCATTAATCACATTAGTATATTATCATTAATTTGATAATTTTACAATTATAGGAAATATTTTCAAGCTGTCATAGATCAAAATCTATTTATGTCCTATAAACATTGTTGTAACATATGTGAGCCTCAAATCAGTGTTAAAAAACCTTAACTCTATAACTTCATTGTTTATAAACAAGAGCTGTCACGCAAAAGTGACAAATGCCACTGAAAAGGTTTCATAACTATTGCAAAAAGGTAAGAAAGATATAATGAAAAGAAAAGTGAATATAAAATAACTAATTGCTTAATATTGTTCTTGTGAAATGAAGTGCTATTCATAGCAAACTTACTACCTTCACCTTGGTGGAAGGGAAATGGATCTTGGATGCGGCACATCATCTTGATGTGGTACACATTTATGCCAAGTTATTTTAAAATCCTTCAATGTATGACAAAGTAACATTCCAGACACGAGTGTTGTGTAAGTGGGGACACACAGACAGATGGACAGACGGTGAGATTTTAATATGCCTCCTTTAAGAGGTATGCAAATTCAAAAGATGTATCATAGTAAAAGGTGCTCACATTACATAACCACTTTTATATAATAATGTTGCCTTAATTTAGATAACTACTTCATGTACATAACTTCATACTTGATATCAAATGATATCTTTGTAAGTTATGTTGATATCAGAGCTATCAAAATACTGTGACAAAAATTCAGTTATATTTGGCAATTTTTACTTATAAGTACAAGAACATTGAATGCGATGTTTAAAGGCACATTATGCCTCAGAAACTCATATTTTTTTTATTTTTTATAAATGTCAAACATTTCTTTAATAATGTTTTAATAAAGGATTTAGAGTATCTAAAATTTTTAACAAATGAAGTAGGCTTGAACACACAGCAATGTGTCGCAAAGGTAGCAAAATGTAAACAAAGTAGTACTTTAAATTCCATACAAAATACTAATTCATTATAATTATACCAATTGCCAACAGAGCAAATGTAGCAAAAAAAGTTCATGCATATGGCAAACAAGTTTTTTTCAGAAACTGTTATCCGAGACCAAATATAAGTTTTTAAGAAATAAATTGATAGCATTTCTGAGCCTCTGTTAAGGGCAATGAGTTTTAAAAAAAAAATCAAATTCAATAGAGTTATGGTGATATTGCAGCTATGGACTCCACTTCTCAGTAAGATGAATAACTTTGTGATAGTAAATGTTCAAAATTTTGGGGTTTTTTTCTCAAAAAATTTATTATTTCCCATGTGAAAAAAAGGGCATAACTCCTGAAAATATATCTATCAGGATGACAGCCTGTTTTTTAACAACTGGGCCTTGTCAAGATATTCCAATATTCAGAGTTTCAATTTGGTATCTTTGATAGTGTATAAATCATTCTACTTAATATACATTTTTGACAAAAAATCAAAAAGTAAACAAGAGCTGTCCATATGACAAAGTGCTCAACTATTCAGATCATTGTTTGACAGTAAGAAAAGGGGCATAACTCTGTGAAAAGGTAATTATGGGACGTGTCTCTACCATGTTAGATAATTACAAGAGCAAGTATGTGAACTTTCAACCCATTCTCTTCAGTAGTTTTTATAGATACCAACTTGTAAACAAAAACCAAATGCAGGCACCCAAGCATAATAGCCCTGCCTATTCTTCGAATAATCAACCTTAAAAAAGGAAATAACTCCAAAAATATAGCTTTCACATTAATGAACCCTGTCTTAAACTGCGCCTTGACATGATAAACAATTATTCCAAATTTCGTGTCCATATCTTTATAAGTGTTTGAATAATGAACTTTATTAAGTTTTTGTACAACAACAATTATGATGTAGCAAACATAATAGCTTGACATTTAATATGAAAAATACCAGCAAATAAACAAATATATTCGCAGTTTTAATAGCATTGTCATGATTGACAATATAATACTGATTTTGATTAATTAATGTACATTGTGGGAAACCTTTATAAAAAATTCTGAAACATTTCTTAAAAGTATGTAAAAATTTCTTTATACAACAAAGAAGCCTAAATGAATGAGTGGTTAACATCACTTTTGTCATTCATCCTAACCCTACATATTCAACATTAAGACATTCTTCCCTAAGTTATATGTGCATACACATATAAAGCATACTGGTTTTTTTCAGCCATTTTCTCTCTGCATCAAAATGTTTTCCCAGTCTGTTCAATAATCATTCTGACACAATTTGTGTCCTTACTTGAAAATGAAATGAAATATTAAGACATTCCCAAAGAGTAGCAAATCAAATATTCTGACATTCACCAACATAAGCAAATAAAGTACTATGACATTCCCTAAACCCTGTAAGTGAAGTATTTGACATTCCCAAACAATTATAAAATTTTTAATGAAATATTCTGGCATTCCTCTATCCTTGCAAAAGCAATATTCTAACATTCACCTATTCTACCTGTCTTAACATATGAAGTTGCCAACATTACCCTACCCTTACATATGAAGTTGCTAACATACCCCTGTCATTACAAATGAAGTTGCCAACATAACCCTACCCTTACATATGAAGTTGCTAACATTACCCTACCATTACATACAAAGTTGCTAACATTCCCCTGTCCTTACATATGAAGTTGCCAACATTACCCTACCCTTACATATGAAGTTGCTAACATTCCCCTGTCATTACAAATGAAGTTGCCAACATAACCCTACCCTAACATATGAAGTTGCTAACACTCCCCTGTCATTACAAATGAAGTTGCCAACATTACCCTACCCTTACATACAAAGTTGCTAACATTCCCCTGTCCTTACATATGAAGTTGCCAACATTACCCTACCCTTACATATGAAGTTGCTAACATTCCCCAGTCATTACATATGAAGTTGCCAACATTACTCTGTCCATATTATGAAGTTGCCAACATTACCCTACCCTTACATATGAAGTTGTCAACATTACCCTACCCTTACATATGAAGTTACTGACATTCCCCTGTCCTTATGTATGAAGTTGCTAACATTCCCCTACCCTTACATATTTTTTAAAGCAAGTCATTTATCAGTTTAACTAGTATTATCATGTAAGTATTAAGACCATGTTCTGGTTTTAATCCAGAACTTCACAGTTGAACTTGACATACTAGGCAAGTTTTAAAAACATTCAGAAAAATCTCAGATTTTCAATCATTAAGATTTCTGTATTCAAGTACATTATTATTGTCCTGCCAATGATCTTACCTTGTCAGTTTCCTAACGTTCTCCTTCCCCTTTGGATGATCCACCTCCATCGACTCTTCAATTTCTTCCATCTTTATTAAAGTGTCTTACAATTGCCCTGTATAAAACAGAAAACACACAATACACATAATATACCTGATATAATAAATATTAACACATGTCTCCATGGTGTATCACATGTTATAAGTGAATAAACAAATAATTACAAACTTTATTTTTTCTTTTATCTTTTTTTAGAACACAAACCTCAACAAACTATCATAATGTATCTTTCTGAGCAATTGCTACATACAGATGTACATTTCACAAGTCCATTTCAAATTACATTAAATAATATCATAAGATCTCCCATATACCCAACCCAGTATATATATTTGTTTATATAATATTATGTGGTTATATATGTTTATACCTTAAGATGTTAAACTTCCAGTCAAATTCTCCTGAAAATGATATATACTTAATGGTCTGCTAATGCATTTGCCATGTTCAACATTATAAGGCAGACTTACAAACACATTTTTAATGTTTTTCTCAAAAAAAGGAAAGTATCCATTAGCGAAGCCATTGATGTTTTGAGTATTAAATGTGTCCTTTATAATGTTCTGTTGCTAGGAGACAGTTAAGAAATATTTCATACTGTTCTAATGACAAAAGATATATTCATTGTTACATACTGACATAACATAAATACACTGTAAACCAACTACAAAGTAATATTTCTATGATCATAGTCATAACTACAATATCTGTTTACAATGACTGTAATTATCTCTGTTTACAATGACTGTAATTATGTCTATTTATAATAACTGTAATTATCTCTGTTTACAATAACTGTAATAACCTATGTTTACAATAACTGTAATTACCTCTGTTTACAATAACAAATTATCTCTGTTTACAATAACTGTAATTACCTTGTTTATAATAACTGTAATTATCTCTGTTTACAATGACTGTTATTATAACTGCAATTATCTCTGTTTACAATGTATGTAATTATCTCTGTTTACAATGACTTTAATTACCTTTGTTTATAATGTCTGTAATTACCTCTGTTAACAATGACTGTACAATAACTGTAATTACATATGTTTATGGTAACTGTAATTACCTCTGTTTACAATAACGGTAATTACCTATGTTTATGATAACTGTAATTACCTCTGCTTACAATAATTGTAATTACCTATGTTTATGGTAACTGTAATTACCTCTGCTTACAATAATTGTAATTACCTATGTTTATGGTAACTGTAATTACCTCTGCTTACAATAATTGTAATTACATATGTTTATGGTAACTGTAATTACCTCTGCTTACAATAATTGTAATTACCTATGTTTATGGTAACTGTAATTACCTCTGTTTACAATAACTGTAATTACCTATGTTTATGGTAACTGTTATTACCTCTGTTTACAATAACTGTAATTACATATGTTTATGGTAACTGTAATTACCTCTGTTTACAATAACGGTAATTACCTATGTTTATGATAACTGTAATTACATATGTTTACGATAACTGTACTGTGTTTACAACAACTGTCATGACTAATGTTTACAATAACTGTAATTATCTCTCTTTACAATGACTGTAATTACCTCTGTTTACAATAACTGTAATTATCTCTGTTTACAATGACTGTAATTACCTTTGTTTACAATAACTGTTATTACATCTGTTTAAAAAACTTGTAAATATCTCTGTTAACAATGACTGTAATTATCTCTGTTTACAATGACTGTAAATATCAATGTTTATGAAGACTGTATCTTTGTTAATACTTAACTATAACTTCATTTCTATTAATAGACAATTCTATCTGTTCATTAAATCATTTCTCCAATAAAGTACAAAATAAATGTAACTTACAACATGGGCTAAATCAGTTCCCCACAATTCTAAAAGCTTTAAGCACTTCATTTGAACTGAATCTGTCCATTAATTGCAATAAAATTGATTGTCAAATCAGTCAATCCCATGAAAGCTATAATGCATACTACAATACAAGTACAGGGCAATGACTTGTTTACATTATTTTACTCTCTACAACAATTTGTTGTAGTATTTCCTTTGTTGACAAATATATACAATTACGTTACTGTTTAAGATAACTTATGCTGCTACTTTAAAGGTAGCAGCAATAACCAGGCTACCATTAGCATTTTGATTGTTTGCTTTGCTCATTTGGAAGAGCATCATTTTTGTAATCCTGGCAGGGTCCAATTTCAATCCTCTTTCTCTATAACAATAGTCATTTGTCTCTCATAACTGTTTCAATGGTCATTTGTCTCTCATAGCTGATTTCAATGGTAATTTGTCTCTCATAACTGTTTCAATGGTCATATGTCTCTCATAACTGTTTCAATGGTCATTTGTCTCTCATAGCTGATTTCAATGGTAATTTGTCTCTCATAACTGTTTCAATGGTCATATGTCTCTCATAACTATTTCAATGGTCATTTGTCTCTCATAACTGTTTCAATGGTCATTTGTCTCTCATAACTGTTTGAATGGTCATTTGTCTCTCATAACTGTTTCAATGATCATTTGTCTCTCATAACTGTTTCAATGGTCATATGTCTCTCATAACTGTTTGAATGGTCATTTGTCTCTCATAACTGTTTGAATGGTCATTTGTCTCTCATAACTGTTTCAATGGTCATATGTCTCTCATAACAATATGATGGTCATTTGTCTCTCATAACTATTTGAATGGTCATTTGTCTCTCATAACTGTTTGAATGGTCATTTGTCTCTCATAGCTGATTCAATGGTCATTTGTCTCTCATAGCTGATTCAATAGTCATATGTCTCTTATAACTGATTCAATAGTCATTTGTCTCTCATAACTGTTTGAATGGTCATTTGTCTCTCATAACTGTTTCAATGATCATTTGTCTCTCATAACTGTTTCAATGGTCATATGTCTCTCATAACTGTTTCAATGGTCATTTGTCTCTCATAACTGTTTCAATGGTCATTTGTCTCTCATAACTGTTTGAATGGTCATTTGTCTCTCATAACTGTTTCAATGATCATTTGTCTCTCATAACTGTTTCAATGGTCATTTGTCTCTCATAACAATTTCAATGGTCATTTGTCTCTCATAACTGTTTGAATGGTCATTTGTCTCTCATAACTGTTTCAATGATCATTAGTCTCTCATAACTGTTTCAATGGTCATATGTCTCTCATAACTGTGTCAATGGTCATTTGTCTCTCATAACTGTTTGAATGGTCATTTGTCTCTCATAACTGTTTCAATGGTCATATGTCTCTCATAACTATATGATGGTCATTTGTCTCTCATAACTGTTTCAATGGTCATTTGTCTCTTATAGCTGATTCAATGGTCATTTGTCTCTTATAACTGATTCAATAGTCATTTGTCTCTTATAGCTGATTCCAATGGTTGTTTGTCTCTCATAACTGATTCAATAGTCATTTGTCTCTCATAGCTGATTCAATAGTCATTTGTCTCTCATAACTGATTCAATAGTCATTTGTCTCTTATAGCTGATTCAATAGTCATTTGTCTCTCATAACTGATTCAATAGTCATTTGTCTCTCATAACTGATTCAATGGTCATATGTCTCTCATACCTGTTTGAATGGTCATTTGTCTCTCATAACTGATTCAATAGTCATTTGTCTCTTATAGCTGATTCCAATGGTCATTTGTCTCTCATAGCTGTTTGAATGGTCATTTGTCTCTCATAACTGATTCAATAGTCATATGTCTCTCATACCTGTTTCAATGGTCATTTGTCTCTTATAACTGATTCCATGGTCATTTGTCTCTCATACCTGTTTCAATGGTCATTTGTCTCTCATAACTGATTCAATGGTCATTTGTCTCTCATAACTGATTGAATGGTCATTTGTCTCTCATAACTGATTCAATAGTCATTTGTCGCTCATAACTGATTCAATGGTCATTTGTCTCTCATAACTGATTCCAATGGTCATTTGATTTTGATGGTCATTTGTCTCTCATAACCATTTCAATGGTCATATGTCTCTCATAAGTGTTTGAATGGTCATTTTTGCCTCTCATAACTGATTGAATGGTCGTTTGTCTCTCATAGCTGATTAAATGGTCATTTGTCTCTTATAACTGATTCAATAGTCATTTGTCTCTCATAACTGATTCAATGGTCATTTGTCTTTTATAACTGTTTGAATGGTCATTTGTCTCTCATAACCATTTCAATGGTCATATGTCTCTCATAAATGTTTGAATGGTCATTTGTCTCTCATAACTGATTCAATAGTCATATGTCTCTCATAACTGATTCAATAGTCATTTGTCTCTCATAACTGATTCCAATGGTTGTTTATCTCTCATAACTGATTCCAATGGTCATTTGATTTTGATGGTCATTTGTCTCTCATAACCATTTCAATGGTCATATGTCTCTCATAAGTGTTTGAATGGTCATTTGTCTCTTATAGCTGATTCAATAGTCATATGTCTCTCATAGCTGATTCAATGGTCATTTGTCTCTCATAACTGATTGAATGGTCATTTGTCTCTCATAACTGATTCAATAGTCATATGTCTCTCATAACTGATTCAATGGTCATTTGTCTCTCATAGCTGATTCAATAGTCATATGTCTCTCATAGCTGATTCAATGGTCATTTGTCTCTCATAGCTGATTCAATAGTCATATGTCTCTCATAACTGATTCAATAGTCATTTGTCTCTCATAACTATTTCAATGGTCATTTGTCTCTCATAACTGTTTCAATGGTCATTTGTCTCTCATAGCTGATTTCAAAGGTCATTTGTCTCTCATAGCTGTTTCAATAGTCATATATCTCTCATAGCTGATTCAATGGTCATTTGTCTCTCATAGCTGATTCAATAGTCATATGTCTCTCATAGCTGATTCAATGGTCATTTGTCTCTCATAGCTGATTCAATAGTCATTTGTCTCTCATAACTATTTCAATGGTCATTTGTCTCTCATAACTGTTTCAAATGTCATATGTCTCTCATAGCTGTTTCAATGGTCATTTGTCTCTCATAACTGATTCAATAGTCATATGTCTCTCATAGCTGATTCAATGGTCATTTGTCTCTCATAGCTGATTCAACAGTCATATGTCTCTCATAGCTGATTCAATGGTCATTTGTCTCTCATAACTGATTCAATAGTCATATGTCTCTCATAGCTGATTCAATGGTCATTTGTCTCTCATAACTGATTCAATAGTCATATGTCTCTCATAGCTGATTCAATGGTCATTTGTCTCTCATAGCTGATTCAATAGTCATTTGTCTCTCATAGCTGATTCAATGGTCATTTGTCTCTCATAGCTGATTCAATAGTCATTTGTCTCTTATAGCTGATTCCAATGGTTGTTTGTCTCTCATAACTGATTCCAATGGTCATTTGTCTCTCATAACTGATTCAATAGTCATATGTCTCTCATAGCTGATTCAATGGTCATTTGTCTCTCATAGCTGATTCAATAGTCATTTGTCTCTCATAACTATTTCAATGGTCATTTGTCTCTCATAACTGTTTCAATTGTCATATGTCTCTCATAACTGATTCCAATGGTTGTTTGTCTCTCATAACTGATTCCAATGGTCATTTGATTTTGATGGTCATTTGTCTCTCATAACTGTTTCAATGGTCATTTGTCTCTCATAACTGTTTCAATGGTAATTTGTCTCTCATAGCTGATTTCAATGGTCATTTGTCTCTCATAGCTGTTTCAATAGTCATATGTCTCTCATAGCTGATTCAAATGGTCATTTGTCTCTCATAGCTGATTCAATAGTCATATGTCTCTCATAGCTGATTCAATGGTCATTTGTCTCTCATAACTGTTTCAATGGTCATATGTCTCTCATAAACATTTCAATGGTCATTTGTCTCTCATAGCTGATTCAATAGTCATTTGTCTCTCATAGCTGATTCAATGGTCATTTGTCTCTCATAGCTGATTCAATAGTCATTTGTCTCTCATAACTATTTCAATGGTCATTTGTCTCTCATAACTGTTTCAATTGTCATATGTCTCTCATAGCTGATTTCAATGGTCATTTGTCTCTCATAACTGATTCAATAGTCATATGTCTCTCATAGCTGATTCAATGGTCATTTGTCTCTCATAGCTGATTCAATAGTCATATGTCTCTCATAGCTGATTCAATGGTCATTTGTCTCTCATAACTGATTCAATAGTCATATGTCTCTCATAGCTGATTCAATGGTCATTTGTCTCTCATAACTGATTCAATAGTCATATGTCTCTCATAGCTGATTCAATGGTCATTTGTCTCTCATAGCTGATTCAATAGTCATTTGTCTCTTATAGCTGATTCCAATGGTTGTTTGTCTCTCATAACTGATTCCAATGGTCATTTGTCTCTCATAACTGATTCAATAGTCATATGTCTCTCATAGCTGATTCAATGGTCATTTGTCTCTCATAGCTGATTCAATAGTCATTTGTCTCTCATAACTATTTCAATGGTCATTTGTCTCTCATAACTGTTTCAATTGTCATATGTCTCTCATAACTGATTCCAATGGTTATTTGTCTCTCATAACTGATTCCAATGGTCATTTGATTTTGATGGTCATTTGTCTCTCATAACTGTTTCAATGGTCATTTGTCTCTCATAACTGTTTCAATGGTCATTTGTCTCTCATAACTGTTTCAATGGTCATTTGTCTCTCATAACTGATTCAGAAATCATGAGGATTAGTATTTAGGAGTTGGTTATTACTGAAAAATAAGGCAAGTCTGTTTGGTGGACTGAACAACGAGATATAACAAGAAATGTGTTCAAATACGCATTTAAACAAAAAAAACTTACAGAATAAGGATCCATGTTAACTTTGAAAGATTTTAAGTTATATTTCCTTCAACAGTAAATTTATAGACTTTAAATTAAATATCAAAAACAACCATAAACAAGAAGTATGACTTAAGGCCTGGATGTCCTCAGAACCTAGACTTTTGTCAATATATTTAAATTGACATCAGTAAATAACAAAAGGCAGTAAGAATATTTAACTTCACAATTTGCCATGATGTTATTTCAAAAGAAAACATAATCAAAAGAATAGAAAAATTTCAAGGTGACTTTATGTGTTCTATCATCAAGCATCCTTTGAGTGATTATAGCCTTTATTTTGCATTTTTTACAGGCTGTTTAATCATTTATTTCATATAATATAAGTAAAATAATATATAGGATCTGACTTATTTAAAATATATTTCATGCAGCAAGTTCAGCAAAATATATAAGTGTGAATCTAGGGAAGTAATGATTTTCCTTGACAAGTTTCTTGACTAGAAATCAAGAATTTCACCATTTATATTCCAAGTTACTGGAATTTACACGGTTTTGCTACCGTTATAGCTTTAATACAGTAATTTGTTGATAAATCACTAATAAGGCTGCGTTAAAACAGAAGAACTATGTAACATTTGTTGACTTCTTGTTGGAAGTGAAATTCAATAATGCAGTAGGTACTTTGTAAAATACAAGTCTACATGTAAAATCATTCATGTGGGTCAAAATAAAATATAAATAAAAGCAAAGTACATCAGAGAAACTCATTATACTAATTATATTCCTGATAAAGGAGACACAACAGAAATTTATTTTACACAGTTATCAGTTATTAAAACACGGGGGTGGAACCCCATATGTATCTCAAAAATGAGCATCAGTAAAAATTATATGTGAATTTCCGCTGCACCAGATGTGAAGCGTAACACCAGATACGACTATAAAAATAGGTCAATCGCAGAGTAAGTTTTCATATTTTATATAAAATTCAATCTTTTTTAAAGACAATCAGGATTTGTCTGAATGTTAAGCATCCTTCTGTAGTGAGATTTCATAAAATCTCTGTTTTTTGAGTCCGTTTAATGACATTTTCTTCATTCACATTGCATGTTTTGGACACGCCAGATCCTGCGACAGAAAGAATATCTCAATGAAGACTGCATAGAACTCCACAACAAAAATGGGTAATATAGAGGTGAGCCAGGAGGGTAGAATCACATTTCAAATTTCTTAAAAAAAGGATTGAATTTTAAATAAATGTTTAAAAAAATGAAAACTTACCCTGCGATTGACTTATTTTTACAGTCACATCTGGTGTTATGCTTCACATCTGGTGCAGCGGAAATTCACAGATAATTTTTACCGATGCTAATTTTTCAGGTACATATGGGGTTCCACCCCCATGTAAAAAGTGACTGTCGCATTAATTCCACTAGCACATTATAATTTCGCTATCTAAAACAACTTTATGCCTAAAATTTACTTCAAAAGAACATTATTTTTGCTGAATATTAAAATCTCATAAATAATGATAGAATTTTTTTAAAAATAACCAGGGTCTTTCAAATAGAATTCTATTTGAAAGACCCTGAAATAACTGACTTTGCTAGACTTTGTAGTGTTTAGTAGGACCAAAATAAATGAGTCTCTAAATCAAATCTTTATAGGAAATACTGCGATTCGTAACTTGAAAAATATCACTATAATCAGGAACATAAAAATAATGATATTTTGCTTTTTTATCTCCATAATTGATGTTGCTGCCATAAAATGTAGTCAAGGTAAGCACAAGATGTTTGCAGGTCAGTCACATGACAAATAAGGTCAAAGGTAACGCATTTAGAACGATGATTAGGGATGATTAAAAGTGGCTGTGATTGAAAACTGGCAGTGTGCAGATACTGTATATGTATACTTCCAAGATGTAATCAAAATGTAATCAAGATTAGTCAAGTTAACATGGATCTGTGTTAAATTTCAACACAATATTAACATTCAGTCAATAATTAAGGTAAAAATAATTCAATATATCATTTCTAGATACAATGTATGTCTAGCTTAATCAACAGTTGAAATAAAACTAGGTCATGTGTACTACTACATGATACTGTCGATAGGTACGATTTGTAAACACAGAAGTTTACAATGTAAACAACTGTTTCAATGAGATAATTTGACTATCAGTAATTCTAGACTCATGTCAACAACACCCAAAAAAGATATATACCGCAAATTCCATATTTACTGGTATGGTTTTACTTTTAGCACAGTGTCAGTGACAAATTGTATTATTTATGTCGTAACTCAGATATTTGACCTCAATTTCAACCCTTTCACATGTATCTCTTTTGATATTCCTCAAGTAATTAGTCTTTGGAAATGTTACGCTGACAGAATTCTAACGTATATGTAACCTTTAATCAAAAGAAAGTAAACTTGAAAACTTTTTCTTACCTGTAATCTTCATTTTGTCCGGAAATAGGTTAGTCAATTATCATTCAGAAGATTGCATTTCAATAACAAGCGTCTTGTGTATTGAGATCAAATAAGTTGTTTATACAGTTACATTCAAAATTTGTATTCCGTAAATTTGACTCAATAGAAATCGTGTGTTGAATACTGAACAGGCAGGCACATATTTTTATTTTGAAAAAAAAATGAAGAGACGTTTAAGTGATATATCTGTTTCAAATGTATCTAAATTTTACCACGGATTTATATTATAATATAAATCCGTGATTTAACATAAGTATTAATTAAGCTAAATCTTAATCATTTTTAAACAACAACAGATATGTTTATCAGTTAAAGATAAGTTTTACTTATTTAATAATAATAATAATGATAATAATAATAATAATAATAATAATAATAATAAACTCTTTATTTAACGAAGGTAACTTATTAAGACATCAATACATCAAAGCATTAATTAGATCATGTAGATACAACACATATAATGCAAAATCTTATTTTCAATAAGGCCTTCAATAAAACATAAACATAACAATGGAAATATTAAAGCAATTATAATAATTACAACATTCATAGTAAATCTTTATCAACAAAGAAATCTAACTTTAGATGTGGTAGGAAACAACCTAGAGAATATTTGTTTAGTTCAGTGTAAGATCGGAATATATTTCACCAAAGATATATGTCACAAGTGGCACAGCCACGAGTGAAATATGAACTTTTGGTGTTCGTGAAAAGAAAAATCAGTTTTTTATTTCACTGATATATTTCTATAAACCACCGAAAAGCATGTAATAAATCGTTATGATATTATCATCATCTAATCATCGATATATTTTCATATATTAATTATCTATATACAATTTAAACAAATAAGGGAGTTTAGTAATATTTTATATATGCAGTGTGCAGGTAGTGTATATGTATACTTCCAAGATGTAATCAAAATGTAATCAAGATTAGTCAAGTTAACATGGATCTGTGTTAAATTTCAACACAATATTAATCATTTACGAGGCATATAATATGCGTTACAATAAGAAATGTTAAATACGAACAGAGAACAGAAAAGAGACAAAACATTTTCAGTACACATTCAAATATACAGGAATGCACCCTCGCACGACTGGCAGCCTGCCCTTACACATTCATGCTATTAAATAGAAATTTATACTTCAGAAAGTGAGATTATTAAAATTAGTACACAATAAACCAGAATTATTATTCTGGTTTAGTACAAATGTCAGTAATAACAACGTTATCAACACACATCGCTTTATCGTTCAGTCACATCGATGTCCGTAATTCAAAATCTCACCATCTCATGTTTTATAAAGTCGGTGCTAGCGAGCTGGAAGATAACTTGTATATTCCAGTACCGTTCCTGCAACATTTTCAGTTTTGTCGCTAATTAGTGCGTTATTTCTCCGGCAATTCGCGGTGATTATAAGCCGGAATTTTAGCTCAACTCTTTGATTATTCTCATTTTAATTTAGTTAAGGTTTTGCGTGAAAGTTGACTAAAGAAGACTTCACACTCTTATATCAGAGCATAACAGGGGTTACTAACCAAGGCCCATAATACTAACATCTACCCAAGGCTCATACTAGACAAAACATTCTGAAGCTTATAAATAGGTGAGCCTAGCGTTTTATTAATCCAAATAAATTGTATATTATTTTTTCAATCTCAGCACATAAACATGTTCTAAAATAATCATATGTCGTAATACACACAAAATAAACATGTTCGTTAGAAAAAAAAATTGCGCAACTTTAAATGGACAATGATCGTGCTGCGCCGACCAACAAAATGATAATTTGAAAATGTTAGATGCGGTTTTGATGTTAGGTGTGCGGATTTTTTTTAAACGAACAATTTTGTCTTGTGTATATCATAGACGTTGTTTTTTTTATGTTTTCTGATAAGAGAGAATTTAATGATGACGTTGATCTTGTTAACACCAAATTTGCTTCTGTAAAATGCAGAAAAATGGGCTTTATTTAACATTTAGTATGGTAAAGCGTGCTGTTTTGCATCGGATCAAAAACATATAAGTTGTTTGAAATTATTGCTTTGAACATTTTTCTTTTGAAAATACTTTGCCGTAACATTTCGTCGTTTTTTTGTGCCCCCACTTTAGTGGCGGGCATTTAGATTTACCCTTGTCAGTCCGTCCTTCCGTCCGTCCTTCCGTCCGTTCTCTTTTGTGTCGCATGTAACTCAAAAAGGATTTGACCTAGAGTCATGAAACTTTACAGGATTGTTGATCAGCATGTGTAATTGTGCACCTGGGTATTTTCGTGTGGATTTATACAGTGTTTTAGAGTTATTGCCCTTGACTTAGTAAAAGTTTGCAATTTTCAACTTGTGTCGCACATAACTCAAAAAGTATTTGACCCAGAGTCATGAAACTTTACATGAATGTTGATCAGCATGTGTAGTTGTGCACCTGGGTATATTCGTCTAGATTTATATAGTATTTTTAGAGTTATTGCCCTTGACTTAGTAAAAATTTGCAATTTTCAACTTGTGTCGCAGGTAACTCAAAAAGTATTTAACCTAGAGTCATGAAACTTTACAGGAATGTTGATCAGCATGAGTAGTTGTGCACCTTGGGTTTCGCTTGTAGATTTATCCAGTATTTGTAGACTTATTTCCCTTGACTTAGTAAAAACTTTTTTGTTATGTTGTGTTATTTGTTCCTTGAGTGCTTGAGTTAGAATCCACCAACTTTACAGGAATAATGATCAGCATCACTAAATTACAGGAATAATGATCAACATCACTGTGAAGCTATGCACCTGGGACTTTGAATGTGGATTTTTTTCAGTTTTGTTAGAGTTATTGACCTTCACTAACCGTAGTATATTTGCAATTTTTCAACTTGTTTATGCATAGCTCAAAAGTATTTAACTTGTAGGCTTGAAAGTTTACAAAAATTATGGTCAGCATGTGTACTTATGCATCTTGGGGTTTGCTTGTGGATTTATTCAGTATTTGTAAAGTTCTTGCCCTTTACACAGTAAAAGATTTTTAGTTTTTAAATTGTGGCACATGTAGTCCAAAAAATATTTGACCTCGAGTCATAAGATTGACAAAACAGTGGCGTGTGGGGGCACCCGTGTCCTATGGACACATTTCTAGTTTAACCTTCACTTGCCCCGGTCTCCCTTACAAAGAGGCAGCCGCCCGTTGGAACCGTCTATGGGTCTACAACTTAAAAAAGCTGGCTACAAAAGCTATCTTCAAGTAAGATAAAACAAAATATTTTCTCAGTGATTTTGGCGGGAAAACTTGTCGTAAAGACATTAAACATTAATTATTGAAAAAAAACATGGATTTATTATTGGTTACTAAATTGAATCTGGGACAGAAAGTTATCTTCCGTCCCAGATTGAATGTTTTCGGGGCCGTCCTTGTTTGATGGCAGGTATATATAGACTCCTGACAAGAGCCAAAGCTAGTCGTGCCAAAGCTATAGATTCTGATATAATTTTGTTCAGGGTCAGAATCTAAGAGGGGAGATATTTCCCATCAGGGTCTTTCTATTTGAAAGACCCTGTTCCCATAAACAAAATAGCATAATATCCAAAGCCGCGGCAATCGGAAAGGGAGATCAGTGCTTCGGTTTTTAGGGTATTGGCAATTTCCCAGGTTACACCGGAGTGTTTTCCCTTTAAGACAAGGGGAGATAATGTATGTTTGGATTTTTTTTGCAAATTCCATTAAAAGAAATATTTCAATGTTTTGATGATTCTTTCATGTTTTTTTACTGGAATCAAATGGTATGTAGAAAATTAAAATATAATTGGCTGTTTATTTAATTGGAAAAAACTTTTGTCATATGAAGAATATCCACATTTTTCTTAAGTTCCGTACTGACTTTTTAATTGATCATATTATTTCAGGAATGGGTGGGGTAAGATTACAATAAAGTATTCATTTCTCTACAAGTATGTGATATTTTACGAGAGAATTTGTACGGGAATAATTCCTCACTTAACATGTAATGAGATGCAAATGATTGTATGTTCTTTTACATTCTTAAAGTCAATTATTTAATGTTTGATTTTCATATATCATGTCATATACTGTCAGTATGCTCAGATATAGTTCACAGTAAGGAATTACAGACTTCTTCCCCTTACCAGTTCCTAACCCTGATGGTTCTCCCGCAAACCATTTCCTCCCCTGACATTTGTATCTCCAGGACTGAAACTGGTAAGGGGGTGAAAGGTCTGACTACCCGGGTGTACCCACTCTAATTTCTAAATTCTAATTGCCCTTTCTAAACACCCATTTCCTACTGCTTGACATTTGAATAACAAAACCTGTTTTATGGCATCAACCACATGTACTGGTTGGAGACAACCAAATCCAGATCACCATCAAACCTGGTCAGCTCCCAAATCATTTGATTAAGTTCATAGCTGTTTTCTTTGTTCAGTCTGTCGCTTTTTTATCAACAATAAATTCATGTTTCTTCTATATCAACTAACAAAATTTATGTTAACTTTTTTTTTTAAGTAAATAGTTATGTTTATTACAAGAACATTGATTGATGATATATCTTGTAACACACTGACTTTTATAGAGTTTGAGCCCAATTGATCATTTGATGCATGGAGAAACAATAACATCAGAGGGCAATTTATTGCCTACCAAAATTGTGATCATAGAAATGAATTTGATTTTATCTACCACAGTATAAATACTACTGTTTAACCAGTTTCATAAATGGGTATCTGTTACTAACAAGAATATTATGCTTAATTCTGTATTTGTCATTTATAAACATGTAATTGTTTCGTTGACTCCATACATTGATGGTATGGTTTATATAATTCCATATAATGTTTTCTGGTTCGATATAAAAATTTTCTCATAAATGAAAGGATTTTATATAATTATGCATGAGTGTCATAAGATATACATTCTTTTTAAGGCAATAACTCAATAAGACATTTATGAAACAGAAAGGTCTCTCAAAGGTCAAGGTCAAACTCACTTAACTAAGGGAGTGAAAAGGTTGACAGTGAATGCAGTTTTGCCATGGTCGATGATGGATTGATTGATTCTCAAAGAATTTGGCATAAATGTCAATCTATATGAAGCATGTGCCCTGCTGAAAGCTGTAAGCATCAAGGTCAATGATAATGTAAATTTGTAATTTTGGCAAATGTTAATGAATTCCCAAATTACTAGGCACAGATGTATTAGCCATTCACTTACAAGAATCAGAATGTTCATAGTCATATTTCATATTTCTAGGTAAAATGACAAATACATGAATATGTTAATCAATCTCATCTGTGTAGCAACTTGATCTTTTGATTGGGTAGTGTAAAATAATTTAGTACAAATGTTAAACATGATTCTTGTCAGGTACTAGCTTGTACCTGTGCAGAAATAATGTATGGATGCTACATGTACCTGTGGCCTTCCTCTGACAATAAAGCTGCCATTTAATGGGTGTTAAAAGTTGAAACACAACAACAACAAAAATATAGTTTGTATGAGGGGAGGGTGGTAATGTGACTAGCAGAATACGCTATTCATGTCATTATCAATATTTATAAAAAAACAATCATTTACTGATTTAGAGAAATCAGGTACAAACTGTTGACACAGTCTATTAGAATTTAAATTATAGTGTAGTGACCATTGTAAACTTTAATATAGTATTAAGTGGCCTGTCCCTGTTTTCCATTTGAAATTGTATGAAAGTGAAATATATAATTATATACATATATATTAAAAGTTTTGTTAAAAGATTCCTTAACATATAAGAAAATACTTAATAGACGCACCCATTTTATTTATCTGCAAATATTACATCAGTTTGTTTACAAACACAATAAGGTAACAATATTTGTTCAACAGGCAAACCTTATTACTGATATATAAAAACTTGATTGTGACATATATCCCCTGCTTTTTGCACTCACATTGAGCCATTACATTAATTACATTATTTTAAATGTAAATAAAAAAGGCAAAAAAAGCATAAATTACCCTAAAATTTTCACAGAATGTGTATTTGACCTTACATTATCAAAATATGTAAAAAAGTGATTTTTGGTAAAAATGTCACTTAGACCAGTATTGCGCTGAGCCATCGATTTTATCTTAATGTCATTCGTAAGCTTACTTATTTTGTTAAAATGGACTTTTGCAATGATGGCATTGATGGCGTTTTGAATTTATACAAGAACCTTGGGCCTATTTGTTTGTTTTTAGATATTAAAAAGCCTGCGAAAGTGAGATCAATTTGTTTGCCTGTATTTGACATAAATATTTTATGTGGAATTTAGTGATAAACCTCAAGTAGATGTTCTTTATCAGTATAATAGTATTAAATAGATGACAACGTCCATAACCTTGACATAAACTTTGTTAGAAATATTTCTTTTTTTTTAATTTTGTCATAGAATTTTATGTCTAAAGTTTAATTTTTTGCCCCTTTTTTGGTCCTTGGAGTTGATATTGCCTTATTCCAGGGTTTCCATTTGATAGACCTGATACATGTAACTGCATTATTTCTGCACATGCACAGCAATATTATTTGACAACATTTAAGTAAACAAGAACTTTAAAAATTTGTATAAAGTAAGCAGTTTTTTGAATGGCATAAATTTGATAGAAATACTCAAAAACAAGTAAGCACAATTATGTTCGATAAAAAAATTGTACTACTTATATACTCATTGTACTGATTGTAATTGTTTTTAAGGTATACAACTTCTTTGACTATCAAGATACAAGAATGTAACTGTCTGCATCAGTTAATAGGGTGATGAATTGAGTAAACCTAGCAAGGCATACATTGTCTATGATGAAACTGTGAGGGCTTGAAATCAGACACTGTATTGAATGACCTTATTCGGACCTTTTTCCTCCCTAAAAAACCCTCCTATTATAAAAATTGATTGTTTGAATGTAATGAACAAAAAATACCAATAATTTTTTTTTTCAAAAGTTAAAAATCCCCTTCCTTAAATCTTTTTAAATACTTTTATTCACATTAGAGGTTATATACATATTTTTTGTCAACCCCAGCATCCTATGTGATAAGTGTCATACTTTTGGCACCAATGTTTTGATAATATTTCTCTTTCTGTACTTCTTTTATTAAAGAGAATTACTTTAAATTAGCATATATTCCATATGAAAGATACCAGTAGTAGAGCCCGCTGTGCTTTTAATAGTTCTGTTTTTCTTTGCAGAGACTTGTTATAAATGTATTGTTTGCTGGTTAAATGTGTATAATTTTATTGAGAAAGAAAGTCAGCATATTTGTAGATAAAAAACATTAGCACCTGTTGGTATAATTGGATTATTTACGTCAGTTTTGGCTAATATACGACAATCCAAATAGATTTTCCTATTGAGTAAGTTGGTCGATAAAGTATTTAAATGTATTATCAAAATTATACAATACATTACCTACTAAAGCATACTTTTTATGTAAATGTTGTATGTAATGAAATTAAACGAGGATCATGGCTTTAAAGTTTATATTGCTCTGTGTTAATTGACTTGTGTATGAAAAAGGTGCAAACAATGTTATTGTATTCTTTTATTGTATGTCTCAAAAATTGACACTTAACACAAATAATTCATTTAAACATTTAAGATATTCCTACAACCAATAAGGAAAATTTGTATGTGGATTGATTTTTCAATTTTAATGTTAGACATAAATTTGTAAATTGTCTTTAATGAAGGTGATTGTTAAGTCAGTAGGCACGAAGGATATGTTAGTAAGGCTTTGTTCAGTTTTTGGCTAGTGTTCGAGTGCAATATCGCAGGAATGTCATTATATCTAATATATTATATCAAATTGAAATGGGAGATTTAAATTTAAAATCTGACTAGAGATTAATTCCACTAGGCTAAATATAGGCCATGAATAGAAAGTATTTTAAAATAAGCATACCATTTTCGTGCTTTCATGACTGTATAAATATTAGTTAGGATTGTAACAGTTTATATTGATTTTAAATGACCAACTTTGAAGATATTTAATATGAATAAGACCAAAAATAAAATTGTGTTTGTTTCCCCTACTGCTACCAGCATATACAAAACCCTGCTACAGTGCTTACTAAAAATATCCTCCAAATAAATTACTTTAGCTTTCTGTGCTTAATATGAAAGCAGAGGCCTGAAAGCAGAGACTGTCAAAAAATCACTTTTTTTGGGACATGTTTTTGCATTATAAGTATACAAATTGTGATGGTGATTAAAACTTTAAAACTTTGGTTCCAAACTTCGAACAGATGCAAAAGTGACATTATGCTTATTTTTTTATTGTCAAGTTGAACTGAATTGACTATATATTTCACATGATAGACTGTTATAATAGTGATTGACCAACAGTTGATATTGGAATTTGTTCAGGATAAAACTTAATTAAAACATAAATATGCCAGTAATATAAAAAGACTGCCCCACTCTTTTAATAAATGGAATGTAACTGGTAAATTCCGATAGATATTCATAGAAATTATATTGGGTCACATGAGATATTTATCGTTCATGCGACGTAAATGATAGAATTAAAAGGAATTATGGCAAAATATGAACATAGTTTGACTTTCAACTGTTCACTTACTGTATACCTTTGAATGGGCATAATGTCACTTAAGCATTCACAAATTTTTTTTGAAATCCATAATATTCATAAAGAAGAAAATAAACCTACCAGTACCTACTGGAAACTGGAAGGCAAAACAAAGATAATTTTGAGGCTTGCCTTACAAGACCTGTCATACTTATATGATATATTTTATCCATGTTATTATTAAATCAAACTTTTATACATTTAAGGTAAAAGCTGGGCTAACAGAGCTGATGTGTAAAATTAAGAAAGTAGTTGCCTAGTATGGAAGATGCAGAGGCCGATGATGAAAGATTTGTAAAGGGAATTGTACAGGAACTATCAGCATTCCAAAAATCTATTACATTGTCCAATAAACCAACTGAAAATGAGACAAAAACTGAGTTTGTTGATGATAAAAAAATTACAAAAATGACTAGTATAGAACCATTGTCTGAAGATCCTGAAAGTAATGCGGGAGAGAGTAAAAATGGCGCTACCATTGAAAGTCAAGGTGATGAGCCTGATGGGGCTAAAGCACCAGCACCAGAGCAAGCAAAGCAGCCAAGCAGAATTATACGATTATCACGACCCTATAATCCATACTGTTCTGCTCGAACTTCAGTTACATCTGTGGCATCTACATCCTCAGCTTCTATCCAATCCATATCTTCTACAACTACACTGAATGGCAGTACAACAGGCTCTGCTGTTGGTCCAGGGGCACCTGGTAGCCGGCTTGCAGCTTTACAAAGACCAGGCAGCCCAATGCACAGGATATTACAGCGTGCACAGAGCCCGGCTCTTGCTGCGGCAGCCAGAATGACAGCGCAGGCTTCTGGAGAGGGTTCAAGCACAGTGGTATAATTTTAAACCTTTCTTTAAAAAAAGGTCATATTCATTCATTGTCAACATGAAGTTTGAAACTAAAAATAATTAAAGACATTGGTTTTTGTTGTACATACACAGAATATTGGGGAAAATTTAATTAATTTGGCTTTAATGCAAATACTTTGGAAAATAATTTTTGAATATAAGTTTATATATGCAGATCATCTTCAGTCAAAGCATTTTAAGAAGAGTGATGCAATAACAATTGATGTATCATTATTACATTATGTTCAATGCATATTACATTTTTCTATAACACATTATATTAATCAAATTTTATATTTTAGGAGAAGAATATAGAGAGAAGTTCTGGTACTAATAATATAGAACCATGTCAAACTGCAAGTCCAACCTCTGCAAAAACAGACAATTTATCAGGAAGTGCAGAATTAGCAAACAGTGATAGATCTTCTTCTAGATCTGTTCTCCCACCAAGAATTCAAAGCTCTAGTTTAACCAGTTCAATTTTATTAAGAAGACCCCAAAGTCCTTTCAATAGTGGAAAATCTCAATTATTGATACACAAACAAACAAGTCTTCCAGATGATGAGAGTGCCAGTCCAAATGATCAACTCTCTCCAAGACTGTCTAGTCCTGGAGATTATCCAAACAGCGCTTCCAATAATGATGGTCAAACTGCTGATAAAATTGCAATAAGAAATAAATTACGCGCAAATAGTTTTCGTTTAAAGGACTTGCTTACCAAAAAACCTTTTGTGAGAACTAGGGATGAAGAAAGTGATAAATCTGATGAAACAAAAACTGATCAAAATACTGATAATGCCGGTAGTGATAGAAAAGTTGAGGGTACTACAAATGCATTTAATAGAGAAGCAGGTTCTGATAGAACTAGATGGAGGCGTGAAGGTATGAGTTCTCTTACCAGATCTCGATCTTCAGCTTCCGAGAAGACTGCCACTCTGATATCAGCAAGGTATTTAAGGAATAGAACTAGAAATACAGAGACTTCCAATAGTGATCCTGTTAAAACATCTGAACAATCTGTGAGCGAAAACACAAATTGTAATACTGAAACAGAAATTTCTCAAGCTGCTATAATTAATACCAATGCAACAGAAAATAACAGCGATAATAAACAAGATGATAGTTTAGACAATAGAGTTTCAGGGGCAGAAAAGAGCAATAGGGTCACAGTTGGTGCTACTTTGTTACGCAGTCCAAGAACAAGAGATACTCTTAATACCACATCTCAGAATTTATCCTTAGAGAAACAAGATTCACAAAACAAAACTGATGATACTATTGGAGTTAAATCAAGCATTCCTGGTGATTCTAGTGATAATAAATATGTTGTAGATGAAGCTAGTGATGCTGATAAAAAAGCTAAAGCTTTATCTGATCTTGAAAAGGAAAATGATGTTAAATTAATCTTTGATTCTGAAAAAATCAGCGAGACAGTGCCAGAAATTGACAATGAACCTGAAATTAATCAAAGGACCAGGGACTATAGAAGGTCACAATCTGAAGTGACTGGCTCTGAGCCTAAACCTGGAGAAACACATAAAACTCCTAGAAATTATTCTGAACCAACTAGTCCGGATAAAGATGTAAATGTTATTAGAGGCAGCAAGTCTTATGACAATACTCCAGATGCTGATTTTGCAAAATCTTCTCCAGCATTGAAGCGAAGTTTTGTGGTTACAGACTTGGATCAAGCTATGAGGGATAGGGACCAGCAGAAATTAAGTTCAATCTTTAAAGACAGCATTAAAGATGATAGTGCAGAAAATAAAGTAGTGTCAAGTGAAGAAAAAACAGAAGGTAAAGAAAATGTCAAAGAAATTAATAAAAATGCTTATAGTTTTATTTGGTAGAGAATAAGTTGATCACAGATATTTTTTCATATGAACCTTAAGTCTGCATTTGTCCGTTGTCTCAGAAACTATCAAAGCTATTCAGTTCAGAGTTAGTATACATTAAAGTTCACTATTAAGATGTGACACCATTTCTAAAGGGCAGACAAACTTAAAATTGATTTTTGCAAAGATAAATCCTAAATCCTGTTCTCAAATTTTTTCCTCAGGTTAATCCTATTGTGAAGGTACATTTCTTAGAAATTATCTCAGAGATATTCACTACAAACTTGAAATACTTGTTCACTGTCAAAATTGGAATGCATTTGTAAGAGCCAGATAACCCTGTTGCTCTTTTTATATGCCCGAAAGAATTTCGGGCATATTATGTTATACCCCCTGGCGTCCATCCGTCTGTCCGTCCGAGCAAACATTTGATTATTATGAGCTTCATTCCGTAGTTAAATAAAGAACAAAAACTCATAAAATTCAAATTAAGAGCTATTTTTTTGTTTTTATGAGCTTATTTTGCTTATGGACGTTGGTCCAGGTGGTGTTTATGAGCTGATTTGCCTCATAAACATCAAAAGTTGGTATGTCCGTTCGTCCGTCCGTTAGCAATTTGATTTCCGGAGCATAACTTAAGTTCCATTTGGCCCACAGTATTCAAACTTCATAGGAAAATTGTCCATATTGGGTAGAAGACCCCTATTGATTTTGGGGTCACAAGGTCAAAGGTCAAGGTCACTATGACCTTAAAACTGAAAACAGTTGCCGGAGCATAACTTAAGTTCCATTTGGCCCACAGTGTTCAAACTTCATAGGATGATTGTCCATATTGGGTAGAAGACCCCTATTGATTTTGGGGTCACAAGGTCAAAGGTCAAGGTCACTATGACCTTAAAACTGAAAACAGATTCCGGAGCATAACTAAAGTTCCATTTGGCCCACAGTGTTCAAACTTCATAGGATGATTGTCCATATTGGGTAGAAGACCCCTATTGATTTTGGGGTCACAAGGTCAAAGGTCAAGGTCACTATGACCTTAAAACTGAAAACAGTTTCCGGAGCATAACTTAAGTTCCATTTGGCCCACAGTGTTCAAACTTTATAGGATGGTTGTCCATATTGGGTAGAAGACCCCTATTGATTTTCGGGTCACAAGGTCAAAGGTCACTATGACCTTAAAACTGAAAACAGTTTCCGGAGCATAACTTAAGTTCCATTTGGCCCACAGTGTTCAAACTTCATAGAATGATTGTCCATATTGGGTAGAAGACCCCTATTGATTTTGGGGTCAAAAGGTCAAGGTCACTATGACCTTTAAACTGGAAAACAGTTTCCGGAGCATAACTTAAGTTCCATTTGGCCCACAGTGTTCAAACTTCATAGGATGATTGTCCATATTGGGTAGAAGACCCCTATTGATTTTGGGGTCACAAGGTCAAGGTCACTATGACCTTAAAACTGAAACAGTTTCCGAAGGAGAACTTAAGTTCCATTTTGCCCACAGTGTTCAAACTTCATAGGATGATGTCCATATTGGGTAAAAGACCCCTATTGATTTTGGGGTTACAAGGTCAAAGGTCAAGGTCACTATTACTTAGAAATTGAAAACAGTTTCTTTAGCATAACTTAAGTTCAATTTGGCCCACAATATTCAAACTTCATAGGATGATTGTCCATATTAGGTAGAAGACCCCTATTGATTTTGTAGTCACAAGGTCAAAGGTCAAGGTCACTATTACCTTTAAACTGAAAACAGTTGTCGGAACATAACTTAAGTTTCATTTGGCACACTGTGTTTAAACTTCATAGTATGATTGTCCATATTGGGTAGAAGACCCTTTTGATTTTGGGGTCACAAGGTCAAAGGTCAAGGTCACTATTACCTTAGAACTGAAAACAGTTTCCGGGGCATAACTTAAGTTCCATTTGGACCAAAATATTGAAACTTCAATGGAGGATTGTTTTGTGAAGGAGGTAATACTTTATTTAATTCCCATGTCTTACAAATGCTTCATCTTTACTAAAAAAAAAATCACTTTCGGGCATATAAAGCTTCGTCTAGCGGTGCTCTTGTTTAAATTTCCTTGTTTTGAAGTTTGTTTTTTTTTCAACATCTATCAAAGATATTAATTTACTTTAGATTTGAAGGGCAGATACATTTTGAAACATTCCCTTGTTTCTACTTTAATTATATCTTTTGACACTAAGATAATTTATTTTAACTTCATATTTGAATCATGGAATGAAATAGTTTATAAATAACATTAAACAGATTTGTACTAGCAAAAGAATAAGAATGATAGAAAGTCTTTGATATTCATTTACAGTGAGTCCTAGTTGGATTGCTTTGTTATTAATCATATAATGAGTAATTAATAGAATTCTTTATATGAGATCCTTGTTATTTTTCAACTTCTTGATTATAATGTGAACTTGCTGTGGTTTATCATTAATATCTAGTCAAGATAAAATAATTGTTATACATTGTACTATTTAATTATGTAAAAAAAATGTAATTATATAGCAGAATCTTTTTATAGTTTTTGCGATACAAATGTAACTTAACTATGTAAGAGAGAATTTATAAATGTAATTTTCCTTATCTTATAGGTCAACAAAAGGATGATTGTCAAAGAGAAACTGATCTTGATGCCCGGCTTGTTCGCACCCGCCGACTCGCCACTAGATCTGTTGAGGGATCTTCTCATACTGCTCCTCACAGTGCTCCTCCAATCAATCCAGTAACTCCTATGGTGTATAAACCTAATGTTAACCTCGAAGATGCTGTTAAATGGCCTATAGACCTTCCTGGAAAACTTGACTTTAGGAAAATGGAGGTTTTTGAAGGTATTCGAATAATACATTAGTTTATCTTGTTGGCTATTATTTATGTGATATTATTTTTGTTTGCAAGTTATTTGTCTTTAAAAGTTTAATAACATATGCATGTTTATGGAGTAGAATGTGAATTTTAGGATATACTCAGCACTGCCTTTTCAATATTTCTGCGAGTAAGTTGTCTGAAGATTTGTAAAGGAAGACAACTCTGTATGCCTTATACTGATTTTTATTCTCAATTTTGTTTTAAATAAGCAGTTGTTTCCCTTGATTACAAAGTAGCTCATGTTTTCAGGTCAGATGTTGTTGAATTGGTTAAGTGGTTCCATAGACAAATCTCACTACCTGCGACTTGTGATGACAAAACATGACATCAATGTTATAGTGTGTCAGGTGTGTACTTGTCTGATTGCTGCTGGTGTCATGAAACAGTTAGAAGGCAAAGATCAGGAAGGCATCTTTAAGGTAACTTAATTATGTATGATCGTCAAAAATCAAATCATTATCATTACCTAGTGTGAAGCATTTTTTTTAAAACTTAGCTTGAATAAAGTCTCTCAAACAGTCTTTGATATAGAGTACAAGCTAGAAGCTTCATTCTAGATAATATGTAGTTTGGCAAGTGAACTTGAAATGATTATACTAGCACAAGTCTGATTATGTACATGTTCTTTATACTATTTAACATAGAATAAATAGCAAGAACATAGTAAAATAATTATTGGAGTTATAGGAGGTGATGCGAGCGAAAGCAAGGGAGCTTATACTTTTTACTTGATATATATCCAAACTTCGAACATTAACCTACATTTTCATTGGTTTGAATAACATTTGCTGGAATTATACATTATAATTATGTGACATGGAATCGGTACACATTTCTAAATATGATAGGGGCAAGTTACCTTCAAATTCAGTTTTACTCAGCTATGCCCCTCTTTGGACTTGGAATTAAGTTTCAAAATTTGAAAGTTAGAGACTGTAAATATCTTAGAATGTGAGATATCCACTTGAAATTTCAAATACTTAGAAATAAATCAGCTTGACCATTGAACAATTACAAAAAGTAATGAACAAAGAGTTTATCCATTAAATGTATAATAAATAAAACAAGATAATTATAGATAGAAATGCCCTCTCTCTTCCTATGATTGGGGAACAGGATAGTTAAAGGTGTGCAATTATACAGTGTTTATCCATTGTATGTGGGTCATATTCATCTTGTGATTTTGATTTTTTTGTGTTAGGAAGTCATTCACTTAAGTTACAGAATGTTGGTGGTTTGGTCCAGGTGCCTGCTTGTATGTGAAGTATCAATACATGATGTGTAACAAGAGGTATTTCTCCATCAGTAAACCTGGACATATGACCTTAGATACCTATAAAACCTGACCCATTTATATCACCTTACCCACCTTTAATTGTTAATTAAAGGCACTTTATGCATCAGAATTGAATAAAATTTTCATTCTTTAGAAAGGGAAAAAATGAGTTTTGTAACAGGAAAATTATAGTTTTAGAGCATATTAGATGTTTAAATAAAGTATCGCTGAATGTGAAATAGCTTTTCATAAAAGTAGCAAAATGTATACGAAGAAATATTTTGACTTCCATACAAAATAGTAAATACTATAATTGTACTAATTGCCAAAAAGCAACAGAAGCAAGAGATGATTCAAGTCATTGGCCAATTAGGGCTCTGTTGCTATTTTTGGGGAGATTTATGAGAGAGGATAATTTTGAGAAATAAAAATGTAAGCATACTAGGACATGATGGGCTTTAATGAATTAAAATTAATGTCTTTGATGAAAGTAAGAGAAAATTAATCTCCTTAATAAATTTGAAAAAAGATTCAATAAAATTTGAATAAATCTTCAATAACATTATGTTGCCATTGTCCCCATATTGTATAATATTCAATTAGACTTAAGTTTGCAGATAAATGGTATTAGATATACATGTACATCCTTTCTTGTGGCCAGGCAATTACAAAGGGATGTAATTACAGTAACATAGATGCATGAACCAGGTTAATGCTTATATGATTTATAACATAGACTATGGTCTGAATTTGATCGGTTTATTTGATAGGAAATACAAATATATATATATTTATATATATATAAATTATGATAATAACATACATACACCAGGAAGTCTCTGTTAGAGTAAGTTTTTCAAAGTTATTAAATTTAAAGTTATTAAAACAAAGAATAGTTAAAATCTTATATAAATAGATTGTTAAAAGCTGATTATTGACTTTTATTGTAACATGTATGAAATTGAATGATGGGATTCATTATAATTATTGATTTTTGTTAAATTTGATTGAATATATTCATTGTTTCATAATGATTATTCTGTCTTATATTAATAGAACACAGTGATGTTTTAATTATTCAGTTAATATAATTTTGACAGTTATTGTGTATTGTAATGACTTAAAATTATTATTTATGCAGTAAATGAATAGACAAAAAGAGAGACCTCAAAGTATAGCAGTATTGCATGTGTGATTAATCAATCATACAGGGGAGTCTCAAATTATGCTGTGATGTGACACTTTGATGAAGGCTTTGACTTTTATGAATTTTGTTAATCACTTCTATTAATTCCCTTTTGTTTTAGGTTTAAATACAGTTTAGTTGTACCCCTTTGAAGTTACAGCTTTGTTAAATTTTGTCTATGATAAAGTTGTAATGATCAGTGAATAATATTGTCAAACCCTTTAACCTAACAATGTACAGGAAATGGTTTCATAGGGAGATATTGATATGTTAATATTATCTATGGTATATGTTGATATTATCTATGGGATATGTTGATATTAACATTGGGATATGTTGATATTATCAATGGGATATGTCAATATTATATATGGGATATGTTAATATTATCTATGGGATATGTTGATATTATCTATGGGATATGTTGATATTATCAATGGGATATGTTGATATTATCAATGGGATATGTTGATATTATCTATGGGATATGTTGATATTATCAATGGGATATGTTGATATTATCTATGGGATATGTTGATATTATCTATGGGATATGTTGATATTATATATGGGATATGTTGATATATGTTGATATTATCTATGGGATATGTTGATATTATCAATGGGATATGTTGATAATTATCTATGGGATATGTTGATATTATCAATGGGATATGTTGATATTATCAATGGGATATGTTGATATTATCAATGGGATATGTTGATATTATCTATGGGATATGTTGATATTAACATTGGGATATGTTGATATTATCAATGGGATATGTCAATATTATATATGGGATATGTTAATATTATCTATGGGATATGTTGATATTATCAATGGGATATGTTGATATTATCAGTGGGATATGTTAATATTATCTATGGGATATGTTGATATTATCAATAGAATATGTTGATATTATCAATGGGATATGTTGATATTATCAATGGGATATGTAATATTATCATTGGGATGTGTTGATATTATCTATGGGATATGTTAATATTATCTATGGGATATGTTGATATTATCTATGGGATATGTTGATATTATCAATGGGATATGTTGATATTATCTATGGGATATGTTGATATTATCAATGGGATATGTTGATATTATCAATGGGATATGTTGATATTATCAGTGGGATATGTTGATATTATCTATGGGATATGTTGATATTATCAATGGGATATGTTGATATTATCTATGGGATATGTTGATATTATCTATGGGATATGTTGATATTATCTATGGGATATGTTGATATTATCAATGGGATATGTTGATATTATCAATGGGATATGTTGATATTATCTATGGGATATGTTGATATTATCAATGGGATATGTTGATATTATCTATGGGATATGTTGATATTATCAATGGGATATGTAATATTATCAATGGGATATGTTAATATTATCTATGGGATATGTTGATATTATCTATGGGATATGTTGATATTATCAGTGGGATATGTTGATATTATCAATGGGATATATTAATATTATCTTTGGGATATGTTGATATTATCAGTGGGATATGTTGATATTATCAGTGGGATATGATAAGTTTATCTATGGGATATGCTGATATTATCTATGGGATATGTTGATATTATCAATGGGATATGTTGATATTATCAATGGGATATGTTGATATTATCATTGGGATATGTTGATATTATCAATGGGATATGTTGATATTATCAATGGGATATGTTAATATTATCTATGGGATATGTTGATATTATCAATGAGATATGTTGATATTATCAATGGGATATGTTAATATTATCTATTGGATATGTTGATATTATCAATGGGATATGTTGATATTACATAAGGGTCATTTTTGTATCAGAGACTAAGTTTCCAAATTTCCCCAAAATATAAAAGGTTGATACTTGGTATGTTGCTTATTACCTTTGTTGTATACAAAATTATAGAAATCATGTCATCAAGATCAAATTAACCCTGTCTTGGTGGTCACTTGGGTTACATGGACTTGAATATGTCTATCTAGGAAACTACATAGTCTAGAAATATCATAAGTATAATTGGATTGTAGCATTTGCCATATTGACTTTAACAAAAGGTATATAAATCATGCCTCTTGGTCCTTTTCTATAGTTAAATTTTCCTGTTTCAAATGATTTTCAGGTAAGCATTGTAGGGCCATCATGACCCTCTTGTTAATTCCTTTTATTACCAACAATTCAGTCATTAGTTTTGATAATGGAAAGTGATCATTAATTTTATCAGATTAGAAAAATTAAAATACTGGTGTATTGTGAAAACTGGCATATTTCTGCTTTTCTGATCAATTCATTTTCCATGGCCAGAAACATGAACATTTACATGTTTTCCTCTATAATCACCGTATTTTCAATATTATATCGATATATATATTATATATGTGTGTAGTGAAATATGAGCCTTTCCTTATATAACATCATATTACTATAGTGAATCATTACCTGTACTAGTAATCAATATCTGTTCTTGAGAACACAAAATAGTCGTCTGCTAACAGGTCTGTTATGATAATATGGTTGCTTGGAATGTTACTTTAATACGAGGGTTCTTCAAAAAGTTCTGTTATCGGGTATTAAAAACAAGATAAAGAAAATATATACGAAAATGGTTTATTTCATCCCTTCAAAATTTCACCACCTACAGAAATACACTTTTGTAATCGAAATTTCCACTGTCTAAATGCATCAGAGTAGTCTGCCCTTGGTATCAGTCTCAAACACTGATATACAGCACTTCCAAGTCCGCTTCTGGTGGTATACCGACGTCCAGACAACATCTTTTTTAGCCGGGGAAATAAAAAAAAGTCACATGGACTTAAATCCGGCGACTAAGGGGGGTGGCTTAACACATTGACCTTTTCTTCAGCGAGAAAGTTAACAACCCCCTTGCTTTTATGCGCGGGGGCATTATCATGTAGTAAATTAATTCCCCTTATTCCAGTACTTGGAAGTTTCTTTTTATAAAACTTTTTTATTCTTTTTAGCACAACGTTCTTATAATATGTTCCAGTGATTGATTTTCCAGATTGTGATGGTATCTGAATAACTGGACCAAGATGATTGAAAAAAATGGTGTACAGGACTTTCTTTGAGCTTTTCTGCCGTTTAGCCACTACTGGACGTTTTTGATTTTTTCCTCTCCATTGTTTATTATCACCCCTCCTTTGTGGCTCAAACATGTAGACCCAAGTCTCATCTCCAGTTAACATATTAGAAATAGTCCTGCTGTCAAATGTTTTGAACTCTTTAAGGAGTTTTTTTGAACACATGACTCTCATTTTTTTCTGGTCATTGGTCAGTAAATGGGGCACCCAACGTGCACATACCTTTTTAAGTCCAAGTTTTTTTGACAGAATTTCATGAACACTTCCTTCTGAAATGCCAACACTATTAGCCATATCCTTTACTGTATAACGGCCATCTTCTTCCACCAATGCTTTCACAGCAGCCACATGCTTATCAGTCACTGACGACTTCGGACGTCCACTTCGACGACCATCTTTAATCACAGAAAGCCCACCTTTAAATTTTTTCGCCCACCTACAAACTGTCATAAATGATACCACAGAATGTCCATAAATACCATTCAGCTCATTGTAAATGTCTTTTGGAGATATATGCAAAGCAGTGCGACTTTTAATATAAGCGCGTACTTCAACTTTGTAATGTCGTTTCATTGTTATTTCCAAAAAATGGCCAGTGTATATGAGTGACACTACTTCAAAACTGAATAATTTTGTCATTATTGCATCAATTTGCACGTGTTTTTCGTGCTTATATAGTGTGAATATTTATGTACATTAATGTATAGGTTTATTGAAGCAAAACCGTCGATTACGCTACGGAAGACCATTGGTAACAAAACTTTTTGAATAAACCTCGTATATATGTATACTGGTATATATATTTAATTCATTTTAATGGGAAATAATTAACTGGCACTATGAATGAAAATTGTAAATAATGCAAATATGGAAAAAAAATCATAGCATCACATCTAGGATCTTCTTGCATATCTAAAAAGATTCTCGCTAGAAAACCTGATCTTGCAGCTTGTCACACTTTAAATGACGTAATTCCCTCGTACTTTTTCAATGTGAATGAATTGCACATTTAGAATGACATCAGTTTGGTATTATATAAATAAAGTTTTATATCGCTACTACAAGAAAAAAATGGTGAATGAAATACATTGTATTAATTTTTGTAATTTCCTTCTGAATCAGAACTAATATGTAATATACAAGAAAAAAGAATCATACACCGGCTGTCGCCACAGACAAGAATATCTAACTCTAGGGAAAGCTCAGAAGAGCATCCTTTAACAGTTACCCTCAAGCTGGATATTTCAGACTATACTAGTATGGCAGCATGTGTAAACAGTTACCCTCAAGCTGGATATTTCAGACTATACTAGTATGGCAGCATGTGTAAACAGTTACCCTCAAGCTGGATATTTCAGACTATACTAGTATGGCAGCATGTGTAAACAGTTACCCTCAAGCTGGATATTTCAGACTAGTATACTAGTATGGCAATATGTGTAAACAGTTACCTTCGATACTAAACTGGCAGCCAGTGTAGGATTCTAATATTCCTCAACAAGTTATCTTGAAAGGTTGACAGATAATCATGACTGTGTCATAACAAAATTGAGGAAAATAATAGATAGTTTTGTTCTATCTGTGGCAAATGAACATTCTTTTAATGCCATATCATCTGAATTTACCTATAGCTATATCATATTATTTCCATATTTGTGCTAAATATGCTGATAAGGAGATGTTAATATTAGAATGTTGATCTCAAACGAATATCTTAATTTACTTCGCATTACTTACACAGTATGCATTTTTCTGTGAAGTTCTGTGAAAAATTATTTATTTATTTGGTTGTACTATTGGATATTAGAACATCTTGTTTAGAAATAAACATGACAGTGTGTAAGTGGAAAGGTGTTGACCCTATGTAAAACAAGGAAAGTATCATTTATGTATTCATGGATGAAATTGTTGAATCTTTTTAAATGGTTGAAATATGGTAAGTTCTGATATGTTGACACATTTATTGCCATTGACTGTGGTTATGACTGAAAGATGGTGATAAAATATAACATTATTATGTATGGCATTACTTTAAAAATTTGTGATAATTTACATATAATTATTGTTGTTTATATAGTATTTATATTGGCCATCAGAAAACAATAGCAATAAAGGTGAAAATAATGCCGACAATTCTGTTTGTACCCAACATCAAAGTGACATGTTTTGAATTAATGTACATGTATGATATATAAACAAAAAACATAATTTTCGACCAAGGCATTTATAAATAATTCATAGTTTTTTCAAGGACATACAGAGAAGGAAAGGTATATGCCATCATATAATGATATTATGTTTAACATTAGCATAACAGCTCACATTTCAGCAGGATACATATAGACATTGTAAGATGACTGAGAGTGTCATGTGTAGGCACATGCAATTATAAGTGACTGATATCAGACTACACAAAATTGTCATGTGTAAGTGTGTGTTGCTATGACTGGTTGATATCAGTCAGTACAAATGTCATGTGTAAATTGGTGTTATTATTATAGATAATACAAATGTAAGTGGAAGTTTCAATGAGTGCTTGATATCAGACAGTGCAACATGGGAATGACTTAATTGCCTACATTTTCATGCTGTCTGACCAGTTTCATTGATTGGTTGCCTTAATATAATGTTTGCTCTATAATTATCAATGTGCAGTTGAGAATTTAAACAAGACAAGTCCATTTTATAATGTGGGTGAGATAAATGATTATATAGTATAATTCTTGTTTTACAGACAGATTGTATGTACTATTGGACACACACACAACAGAACTCCCCTAATGTTACTGTGGATGTAAACAAACTACAGCCCATGTGGCCACCAGTACAGGAACAGACAGATGATAACAGACCAGCACTTAAATATACAGAAATAGGTAACTATTACTTATAAACACTTCATGTGGCTTTGAAATAAAAAAACTTTAAAAAAAAATCCTTTCGAAACTGACATCATGGCATTGTAACAGAAAGGAATGGTCATCATTGTAGATGTAAATGTTTTTAAAAGATTTTTGAAGGGTTGTATAAGTAGGTTTTACTAACATCTTGGTAGTTGACAAATTGATTCACTTTGAGATTGTCTACTACAGTGTTTCAGTGTGTTGCATTGAAATAACAGCATTTAAAGCAGTGATTTTATTTTTCAATTTTCAAAATAACCTGTGGCTTTCTGACAAGAAAAAAATAGCATAATAAATAGGAAAATGGGAAAACCTAAAATCAAATTCGAACAACTGAAAATGGAATTTACCCACACATTTGATAAAAATTTCAATTCAAGTTAACATGCATGATGCCAGAAGTTATCAAAAGGGAATTAAATTTATCAATTAGCTGATATAATGCAGCTGCTGTTAAGTCGTGGTTCTGTTGAAGAATGTGCACAGGGCATTTCAGGGGAAAATATACCTATTTTTGGCTAGAGGAAACCGCTGTAGAATTCAGCTGTAAAGTACAGGAAAAATCACTAAAAATTGGGCATAATTCTGATATTCTAATCTAATATTATTGAATAGATATTAACTCTAAACCTGCTGATAAGCCTTTGCCACCAGGCACCAGTATAGAGCCAGACCAGTCGGCACTCCTGTCCAGTTTAACCAGGCTCTAAACTGTTGGCTAACCAACTTGTTAATGTCTGATTATTCAAAATTGATAATGGACAGTTCCAAAAATGGAAGCTGGACAAATCCATTAAAAAATTCAGCAAGTTAAGGGTTAAATTAGGAATTAATTACATGACACTTGTATCATATATTTAACTGAGAGAAAAAAGTAACTGAATGGTAAAAATTGTTGTAACCTTTTAGTAAATAGCAGTTATACCGACGACTCAACAAATTACATGTATAACCTACCACAAAATATCATGGCATTTATAGGAATATTTTCTTCAATAATTAGTGGGCACAAACTCTATCAGTCTTGTACAAATATATAGATATATTTTATGACTGAAATACATGTGATATACAGGATTAAAAATGAGAAATTAGGATTTAAAATGTATCGAAGTGAAAAGAATATATCAAGACCGCTCAGTTTAAAAATAGAGTGTCAGCTCGGTGAGTATGACAACATGACTTTACTGATAAAATATTTGACAAAGAATGTACTTTATTTTATGTATTATTTATACATCATTAATATATTTTTAATATAATTGTGCCCCCACTTTAGTGGCGGGCATTTAGATTTACCCTTGTCCGTCCGTCCTTCTGTCCGTCCATTCTCTTTTGTGTTGCACGTATCTCAAAAAGTATTTTACCTAGAGTCATGAAACTTTACAGGAATGTTGATCAGCATGTGTAGTTGTGCACCTGGGTATTTTCGTCTGGATATTTTTAGTCTTTTTAGAGTTATTGCCCTTGACTTAGTAAAATTTTGCAATTTTCAACTTGTGTCGCATGTAACTCAAAAAGTATTTGACCTAGAGTCATGAAACTTTACAGGAATGTTGATCAGCATGTGTAGTTGTGCACCTGGGTATTTTCTTCTGGATTTATTTAGAATTTTTAGAGTTATTGCATTTGACTTAGAAAATTTTTGCAATTTTCAACTTGTGTCGCATGTAACTCAAAAAGGATTTGACATAGAGTCATTAAACCTTATGGGAAGGTTGCTCAGCATATTTAGTTTTGCACCTGGGGTTTTGCTTGTGGATTTATTCAGTATTTGTAGAGTTATTTCCCTTCACTTAGTAAAAATCATTTCATTATGTTGTTATTTGTTCCTTGAGTGCTTGAGTTAGAATCAACCAACTTTACAGAAATAATGATCAACATCACTAAATTACAGGAATAATGATTCACATCACTGTGAAGCTATGCACCTGGGACTTTGCATGTGGATTTTTTTCAGTTTTGTTACAGAAATTGCCCTTGACTTACAGTAGTATAAATTTGCAATTTTCAACTTGTTCATGCATAGCTCAAAAGTATTTCACTTGTAGGCCTGAAAGTTTACAAGAATGTTGGTCAGCATGTGTACTTATGCACCTTGGGGTTTGCTTGTGGATTTATTCAGTATTTGTAAAGTTCTTGCCCTTTACTTAGTAAAAGATTTTTAGTTTTCAAAAAATATTTGACCTAGAGTCATAAGATTGACAGAACAGTGGCGCGGTGGGGGCACCCGTGTCCTATGGGTATATAATATGATATTTATCAATTTAGTGGGAATTATTTAAAAATTTAAGCACTGTTCCAGTTCTTATTCAGTTATTTTCAACATACATGTATTTTGTTCTTATTGAATTTTTGAATGATACTTCTCAAAATTTAAAAGTTTTATGACCATATGGAAATAGAAGAGGGGTGGGGTTTTGATTGGGGGTCTTGTCGGTTTGTGGGTAATTTTATCATTGCCCATATAAACATATTCATTCTAGTATCCAGAACTTCATACTTGGATAAAATATATACCATTATTCAAAGCATATCTTTTTCTTGTCTAATTATGACCTTTACCCCATGTTGACCTTTGTCTTTAATCTTCAAATACATGACTTTGTTATTTATGTACAAATTTGCTTTATTACATGACTGTGTACCTCTAGGCAAGTCATTGAAATGACCTACACCTATAAGATCAAATATTCCTTGAGCAAGAAACTTTACACTAATTTCTTGGTACTTGTTAGTTCTGGTTGGAACTGATTCGAGAGTTTTTCAATAAACTTAAAGCTTCCTACACAATCCAGCTGAAGATAAATTCTGGATATTATTACTAAATATTTAGCAAACTCAACCTTGATTTTGTTATTTTAATGTCTGCTCTTAATTTTGACAGAGAAATGTAACCTTTTCTCCTTTCTGATGTTTGACCTTCAATTAGTCATATATTTTTTTATTCATGAAAATTCCTTTTAAATTTTTCTTGTCCTTATGACTTATCATTTATGACCACATCTTGTTTACAATTTTAGCTTGCAGTAGCATTAAATTTAAATCTTTTAATTTTATTAGGTCAGAGTTAAAACATATGTTATTTAAAAGTAAAAGGCGTACATCTTGGAATAATATGATGCATAAAAGGGAAATTATTTTGAGTGATAGAAAATGTGATATTAATTAAACTTGGAATCAGCATAATGCCAGGAAAGATGCATTTACTAACTGTTGGCTACCCAATTTTATTGTTTTGATCTTTAAATACATGAAGTTCAATTCTTTAGTTTATTCTTTATTTGGTTTGAATATTCACATTATAATGTTTATAGCATCAAAATAAACAAACACTTGTTATGATGTTAAAGCTGGGCTGGTCGGTTACATAAAATAAATAAGGACAAAAGTTTGAGTAAGATATTTTAAATTAGGCAAAAAAAAAAAAGTTTATCTAAAAACAAGTTAAATTATATGTAAATGAAAAGTTTGCCAGGTTACAGACATATGCAGGAAGTTTTTGTTTGTAACAGTAATGTAGTACGTTTATATAAATATTTCAAATTTCATCTTGAACTTCTATAAAACAGAGATATCATGTGTAAGGATAGGTTCATACAAGCTTAACAAAGTCAAGTGTCATTGTTCAAAAATTCATTAGCATTTTTGTCATAAATTATGAATTGGATACTTGAGCACCTTGACAATACATTTGTAACAAATAGAAGTGGAAACTTTGTTTAAATTGTGATACTTTAAAAATATAGCTATTAACATCAGTCTGTCTACAGGTCACCATTGAAGATTTGGAATACTTTTGATTTTAATGTGATACATTTAATATGAATTATGCTATTTTCCTTGTAATATTGGAGAATATAAGGGACCATGAAATAATCATTTTCAAGATGTTTGGTCAGTTTTTATGAAAATTCTGAATGATAGAAGTGGATGTGTTACCATCATGAAAAGATTTATATTTGCAATCAACTGAATTAATTGCTTTGATTTTAGCAAAATAAGCAAATTTTATATAAGTTTGACACATAAGAATAAAGGAATATATTGTTGCAATATTTACATTGAGGCTTATGTTGTGTATATTTGTATATATATTTTATAGGAATTGTACGGAGGAGGTGACCGCTTGTGGTCATTTACATTGATGTGTGGGGTTAACTAGAAAAGTGGATTAAATTTCACGTTTCATTGAATTTCTTTTGACAACAAACTGATAATATCACAAAATTAAGCGTAGAGTCAAATATTTCATTACAATTTACATATCATTAATACTGGAAATATCAGCTACTACATTTACCTGGCAGTAAACTTAATGTTTAAAATGTTAAATTTGTAGTTTATTACAGTTTTAAAAATGGATCTAGGTGACACAGCATGTGACATTAAAATTTAAAATTATTTTAGACTAAAATTTCTTCTCAAGTTTTGTATAAAAATTAAAGGTAAAGAAAAAGGTATAAAAATTCTGACACGATACAGGTTGTTTAATTTTTAAAACTAAAAATTTGTTAACATGTGTCAGTTATTTTAACAATGTTGACGTCAAGATTCATCATAAAGTGATGCTTAATAATGAGTGAGATTAAAGGAAATGATGATGGCATAAAAATAACAGTGGAATTATCATAGATATAAAGAATATTGAATTGCGAATATAAAGGATGAGTGATAGTAAATACGGAGTAAATGGAATCTATACAGCATTTAGAGTACATGTACCAAAAAGCAATGTGCCTAGAGAAAGCCCAACACTCCTCCCCACCGTCAACAGACTCTGGGGTAATTGTTAACAACGAAAGTGAAGGTGTGTTATAAAAATGTAATTCAGTTTAGATTATGCATAATTTATATCAAAGCTATTTAAATTTTGATTGTACATATAATTTGCTCTGTGGTCATGTTGGAGTTTTGTAAACCTCTAATCTTTGCCTTAGTGCCGTAACAGGTTAAGTTTGTCTAAATTTAATAGGAGTTAACCAGTTATTGCAATAAGTGGATATAATGTTTGTTGTCCATTTATATGTACACTTCAGCAAATTTTGTCTACACATGTGAGAAATTTTTGTCTACACATGAGAGCAATGTCTTCTAGATTTGTTTTGAACCAGTTCAGAGTGAAACTGGTATAGTGCCCCTGTAACCAGACAGATTTTATTGTGAGTGATATATGTGTACCAGTCTTGCAGGCAAACAAAACATGTATTGTGAGTGAAACTGGTAAACCACCTTGTAGGCAAAAGGTAGGGTTAGAATAAAATAGGTATATCTGTCTTTTCGGCAAACAAAGTGTACTGTATGTGAAACTGGTATACCAACCTGTCTCGCAGGCAAATGGTGTACTTTGAGTGAAACAGGTCCACTAGTCTTGTAGAGTGAAATGTGTATACTAATCATGTAGACAAACTGTACTGGGAATGAAAGTGTATTTCCATCATGTAGGTAAAAGGGTTAAATATATAAGAATAAAAAGTGTTCTGAACAATTTTAACAGTATAATTTAAACATGAATGATTTTCAGATTTTGAGACGTGGATAGCCTGTGAGTGTTGTGTAATCAGTAGAGATGTTTAGTCAAGAGAAATATATTTGTTATATATACAGTATATACATTGTGTATCATTATATAATCCCTATATATGTATGTTGTGTATATGTAAAACTTATGATATATAATTGTAATAATGTAATACAGTGGCTGAAAAAGAAAGTCTAGTCTTGCAAAAATGTCATTTGTGGAAATGTCAATTGTTTTAGAATGTGATTTGAGCCGCGTCATGACAAAACCAACGTAATGTGTTTGTGACCAGCATGGATCCAGACCAGCCTGCGCATCCGCGCAGTCTGATCAGGATCCATACTGTTCACTTACAAACCCTATTACAAGTAGAGAAACTGATAGCGAACAGCATGGATCCTGATCAGACTGTGCAGAGGCGCAGGCTGGTCTGGATCTATGCTGGTCGCAAACCCACTATGTTGGTTTTGTCGTGACGCGGCACATTTAGTACAAAACTAGACTTTCTCTTATTACTACAACATTGTTACTTGTTTTTGTCAGATTTCTGTGACTGCTGTTTCTCTGAGACATTAGTTATTAAGATTCCTGATGGGTTATATGGTCCTATATAAATGCTAGTTTGTATATATAACACGAGTCCCTAGGTGAGGGTTATATTGCAAACAACCAAGTCCATTTATATATGGCCATATAACCTGTCAGGAATATTTATAACGAATTTATAATACTGCAAACTTCCTATTTTAGAGTAAAAAAAGTGAGATTTCTTTATTAATTGACTGCAACCTTGTATATAAAACTATATAAACGTCAAGATTATGTAATGAACAGTGACGTTACAAACGTGCAGTATTATAAAAAGCTATATATACGTCAGGATTATCCAGTGAAAAATGACGTTACAAACATGCAGTATTATAATACATGTTAATCCTGTCTACTGTCTAAGTTCTTTCTTTTATTCCCAAAACATTTTACGTAACTATGGTCCACTAAAACTGAGACCTACATAGTTTTATACTCATACATGTAGTAATACTGGTATGTACAGTCAGACACAGTCACAGACGGTCAGACAAACAAAACATGTTATAAGATATAATGTAACCATAACACAGCTTGTATATATCATGTTCTCACATAGGTATATTTATTTCTTGAAATGATGTCGAGTACCTTGAAATTGTATGATCCATTATGTCAAAGTATATTCATTGTATATTAGGAAATGAGCTCTTACTAACATTGAGAGAGGTGTTATTTAATTTTTTACTGAAAGTTCTGCTATTTAGTGGTGTAATTGGTGTGATGAAATAACATTTGTTATTACTTTCTGATGCAAAGTTTTTAATTGTAGATATTAAGTGATTAACATCATTGCTGTTTCAAAATCTGTCTGATCAAAATGATTTTATATTTAGGTGTTTGGTTCTTAATGATTACACGCAAAATTCAGTAGAAAGATACTGTTAGGACCACCTGTATTCATTAGAATATTTCAAGTTTGACAGAATAGATGAGCAGATTAATTATTTTATAATATCAACAATTTTGTACTAACAATATTATGAAGTATATCAATATACTAGAATACTTGTAGCAGTAAGTAGTGGTGTAACACAGTAGAGAACATATGATCCAATATGATGATATAATGTACCCAATGATGTGGCACCATGGTCTTTACATTGATCAGGGTCCATCTAATTTGGTATTTATAAGTGGTAAAATTTCTTACAGTTTTCTTCCATAGCATCTATTTAAAGATATACTATGCTCATTCTTGAGTAAAATACTTTAATCACAGAAGTTTATTTGAATCTATAAAATTCTTACTGAATAAGTCTAATTTGAATAAAAGAATGAATAAACTATGTATGGAAAGCTGTGTTCCCTTTAACGGGTCAAGCAGAGTTGGTCCCTCCTTTGGCATAATTTAAGAAAGGATAAATGAGTGATTAAAATTATCTGACTTGATCAAATGGAATTTCATGTGAATGTATTCCAATGTATTATAAAAGGGTGTGACATTCCAATCAAAATATTAAATTTTATCTAAGCATGACCTCTTCATATTGTTCATATAGCCTTGTGTTTGGCAGGCAGTAAAGGAAACACTAATATATTATATAAACAAGTATATTTTAGCCATTATAACTTTATACCAGTCAAGTTTAAACCCTATAATTATCCCAACATTAGGTTTTTTTTGTACATTTTGCTATGAATAACGATTGTAAAATAAGCATTTAGATGGTTAACGTAAGAAGAAAACAATTCCATTCAGATGTGGGTTAGTAGGAATTGTTTACTGACTGAATAAATTTAGTAATTAAAAGCTCAGAAAATTAAACCATAAAAGTTTCTGCCTTGATATAATGATATTTATTTATATAATTGATAGATAGGTCATGTTGGGACAGGGTCACACTATTTTATCTTGATTTTGGTACTTTTAATGCAGGAGATAGTTTAAGGAATGGTCAGTCTATGGCAATATAATTTGTGACCAGGGTAGATAGTTTAAGGAATGGTCAGTCTATGGCAATATAATTTGTGACCAGGGTACCTGTCAATTTGTGTACAAAGTGATATATCAGTTGCATTTAGTGTTTGGAGATTGTGTTCTCTAATGCTTGTAATATTATTATGTCTCCCCCACCTCGGGGGGAGACATATTGTTTTTGCCCTGTCCGTCCGTCCGTCAGTCCGTCCGTCCGTCAGTCCGTCCGTCAGTCCGTCCGTCCGTCCATTCTTCGTTTCCGGACGATAACTAGAGTTCCTTTTGACCTACAGCTCTCAAACTTCATAGGATGAATGGTCTTATTGAGCAGATGATCCCTATTGTTTTTGGGGTCAGTAGTTCAAAGGTCAAGGTCACAGTGACCGTTGGTCAATTTCTCGTTTCCGGATGATAACTAGAGTTCCTTTTGACCTACAGCCCTCAAACTTCATAGGATGATTGGTCTTATAGAGCTGATGATCCCTATTGTTTTTGGGGTCAGTAGGTCAAAGGTCAAGGTCACACTGACCGTTGGTCAATTTCTCGTTTCCGGATGATAACTAGAGTTCCTTTAGACCTACAGACCTCAAACTTCATAGGATGATTGGTCTTATTGAGCAGATGATCCCTATTGTTTTTGGGGTCAGTAGGTCAAAGGTTAAGGTCACAGTGACCGTTGGTCAATTTCTCGTTTCCGGATGATAACTAGAGTTCCTTTTGACCTACAGCCCTCAAACTTCATAGGATGATTCGTCTTATAGAGCAGATGATCCCTATTGTTTTTGGGGTCAGTAGGTCAAAGGTCAAGGTCACAGTGACCGTTGGTCAATTTCTCATTTCCGGATGATAACTAGAGTTCCTTTTGACCTACAACCCTCAAACTTCATAGGATGATTGGTCTTATTAATCAAATGATCCCTATTGTTTTAATGGTCAGTAGGTCAAAGGTCAAGGTCACAGCGACCGTTGGTTAATTTCTCCTTTCCGGATGATAACTAGAGTTCCTTTAGACCTACAACCCTCAAACTTCATAGGATGATAAAGGTTTGAAGAATTATGGAGCAGACACAATTTCATTTAATTTCATTTGTGAAACTATATATGATATGACCATCAAGTGCAATTTCGTTTGACGCCCGCCTGCCATACGCTGATTGAATAACCAGGATTTTCAAAATTGAATACCTGGTTAAAAACAAACAGTTTAGGAAGCATCTTCTCATACAACCTTAACAATAGAAACCATCCATAGACAGCCTTCATTGAAGTGACTACCGGGTATTTACATTATCTTATCTCCATTTCCATTCCTGTTTCCATTCACAGTTATTCTCAGCAGTGGGGGAGACATGCGCTTTTTTACAAAAGCATCCTCTAGTTGAAACTTTGTTTAGGGAGAAACTAAAATCTTACAATTTACCATAAAGAACTTAAGTTTCAATCACAGTGCCTTATTACTGTCCTACTTTGATAGGCCACCCTTCAACAAGGACCTCTCTTGATATTTCAGCTTTGATGATAATGAAAAGGAAATTTTGGGGTGTCTGTGACCAAGTGGTTTAGGTGGCTGACTCCAAACTTCTTGGCCCCTGACTCCTGTAGGTTTAAATTCTGTCCTGGACATTGGATTATTACAGATGAGGAAGATCTCCAACTAGCTTACAGAACGTTGGTGGTTCAACTCAGGTGTTTTTTTGTGTCTGAAATAATGCATGGAGTGGCACCTGAGGTGTTCCTCCACCAATAAAGCAGAAAAGATGTATGCCATAGTAATATATACAAAATATTATGAAATGAAGGTTATTTATATATTTCAGTTATTACATAGTGGGTATGTGTTTTGGTGAAGTGTTTGGTTTGTGAAAAACACACATCAATATCATCAAAACTTTTCTCACCATTGTTTGCCATTATTTGTGCTGTTTTTCTTGTGCTGTATATATATTAGGGCTGTAGCTGTATGCGGTACAAGGTTGGAGATATGTATATATCCCTGACCACTCTTTTGACCTTTAATAAATCCATGGAGAAAAAATTGTATACAAATATATTCAAATATCAGATTTGATTGTTTACTTTAGTTTTACTGCCTTGATTAATATGATATGAATATGGAACAAGAAGCAAGATTGTTCTAGCATTACTAAAATACTAATGTATGAAGATAAAATTAATGTGACTTTCTTAAGTCATGACTTACATAAGTCAACATGTCAAACAATTGGTGACTAATTTATTATTAAAAGTATATAGGTTGTATAATACTGCCTGTACAACTAATGAAAACTAGGTAAAATTATTAAATCATATAAAAAAAATCTAATTTTGATATGGGCAGCTATGAATTTCTATTGGGATTTTCTCAATCTTACCTTCAGTTTCACAATATATATGACATAGGCAATTTCACTTCAGTATACAGCCCTGATATAATGCTGTTTCATTTTCTGCCATTGTCTTTCTTCTATATTCTGTATCTCTTATCAAAGTACTGAAGTGGAGATGGGCTGGCTGTTAACTGGCTACTTAAGGGATGGAGCCACTTGTCCTGCATGATGAGAAGCTGTTAAAACCACTGTAAATACTGATGTATTTCTGCATCAACTGTATGCATTTATGGTGATGCTTTACTTTGTTGACCTATACTGTGATGGTGCACCTTTGAAACAAACAAAAAGCTTTACTTTGTTTTTTGACAATGTAAAGGCTTTCTTTAAATTGTCTGCAAATAGGAGAAAAAATGTGTCAAATTTGTTTGACATATTATAAAGGGTATAAAGGGATTAAAAATATGTGCGCAATTCTGATGCATTTTTCTGGAATAAGACCACAGTATCACTCTGATGAATTTCTGAAATAAGACCACAGTAATATACAAGTTAAATGTTGATGCTGCACATCAAAGACACCGCCAAATGATGTAAACAGTCAATCAGAATTGAAAATCGTTCGCTATTACAATTAAATATCCGAAGCACAAATCAAATTTTATCCATGTTCTTGGTATGTGCTTGTTGTTAAATAATTAAGTTGCATATTTTTGTGAAAAAGTAGAACCTAATGCATAAATTCACAAAGTAATGCCATGTCTGAAATTCTGAAATGTCTGTCTGTTGCGACAAAAATTGAAAAGTCTGGTCGAAGCAAAATAAATTGGATAACAAGTAAAATTGAAATGAATACTTAAAATAAATTCAAGACAATAAGTGCCGAGAATATGTCCATTTAAATATTGATACAAATTGCATAATGTTCGAATGATTTTGAGGACAAACTGTTCTGTCCTTACTGGCCGTAGCGTAACCGGTTCGCAGAGTTTTGCGTACTTTCTTAACGGTTGAGGGAGAAACGCCTCTCTAATAGTGGGCGTGAACTTGTAATTTAATGATTCGACAAGTGATATTGATCAAAGTAATCCTGGTTCCCTTCCGTCCTATCAACAAGGACTAAATGCTAGCATACAGATCACCATATTAAATTTGGCGACAATTCAAGGCGGAGCCAAACTTCAACAGAGGCAAGCAAATGAAGTTGAGTGACACTGCCTCAGTTGTTACCTCTCTCAATGATTAAGTTTTAGAATGATCGACTATAGACTGGTTCATTGACATGTTATTTATTATGCAGATAAAATTAGATAATGATAAAAAGAATATGATATTCAAACATGGCACTATCACTTCAGTTAAGCGTTTTCTAATCCTTTAAAGTTCTGTGACATGTTGTACATCAGAAAAGCTATTTTTATTAGAAAATTTGAAAGCAGTTTGATTTTGTTAAATCAAAAAAAAATACACAAAATCAAGTCTAAAATTTTCCCCATTGCTGTATGGACAAATGCATATATAAAAGTCGCCGCGTGCACGCGTCCTCTAATGAGTGAGAAAGTCGGGTTTAACAAAAACAACACATCATTCTGGCTTTGTTAAAAAGTATAATATTGCTTTGTGTGAGCTTTGGTTTTTTGGTGTGATTTTTATTATGTATTTTGCTATGCCCCCTTTTGTAAGGGGGATATAGATTAGATCTTGTCCATATGTCTGTGAACACATCTTTAAAAACACACAATTTTGCAGACAGGTGTTTTGTGATGACATGTTTTACACCTGTGTTTGAAGGTTATTCCCCTTTGTCTCATTAAGAATTAAGACATTTCTTACAAATATGTGATGCATTCAGACAAGGGGATGATTTGGTACATGTGAGCACAGTTTTAGTTTATATCCATTTGAAAAAAATAATACATGAATATAAAGGAATTTTGTTTTAATGGTTATTCAGTCTGGATCAAGCCTATTTAATTCAAACTCCAGTTGAAGTATTTTGTTGTGATAATTTTATTTTTGTTTTAAAAGGCATGATCTTTATATCTTTTTGTATACTCCTCAATTTCTATGTATTTTCTTTCCAGTACCATATAACCTTTGCATTTCCAATTCCAGGAAAAAAAGCTGTAATATAAAATATGGTAATTCAGGAATTATTAATTGTAATATTATTATCATGTTTTTAGATCACCAGGCAGCTATGGTAACCATGAGACACGAATATAAAGAGGAAGTGGAAAATGTAAAGGTATGCTAATGTAATGACCATGACATGACTTTTTGAACTTAAAAAATTCTACATTATCCAGAATCTTGTTTTAATGTCACGCACAGAGAATTGTAGAGCACACTGTCCTACCGACAGCTCTTGTTGTATTTGTTTTTGTTATCTTGATGGAGAAAAATAAACTTTATAGTTATGACCAGAGTATAGGCTTGCTGTGTTTTAAGTTAATGAAATATATGATATGCAATCTGTCAGTGTTATAATCAATGTTATAAAAGAGTTATTTCTGTTCTAATTTCAGAGAGATCATCAAGGTGTGTTAGACAAGGCAAGACAGGAGTATGAGTGCAGGTTACAGCAAGCTGTTGAGAGAATTGCTCTACTACAGAGAGAAGTAGAGAAATACAAATCTCTGGCCAGTATAGAGAAATACTCACAGAATGCTCTATCAGGTAAACTGTCTTCTCATGTAAGACATCATCTGATATAGAAAATATATTGGTTCTTTGACGACAAGTTATGACTTATTGTATGTGCAATGCGTTTGCCCACAAAACTATGCTGTCTATGGAAAACTATGCCATTTCTTGTAAATGATTTTACATACAAATCTGGGCTGTTGACAGCAAATTGTGCTATCTCTAGTTAACAATGCCTTTGAAGGAGAAACACATACACTGTATTATGCAAATTATGCCATTCCTAGTAAACAATGCCTTTAAAGTAGAAAAAACTACACTGTATATGGAAAACTATTCTACCTCTAGTAAATCATGCCTTTGCACTTGAAACTGAGTTTTTTAAAGTTTAAGTCTTTCTTAAGAAAATGAAAAGAAAGTAAAAATATTGTGAAAAAAAATTGTTACTTAATCTGGACAAGAATCTTTTATTTCTTTTTCATTCCTGCCTGATGTCTTTGCAATAAAATACATTTTTATGATGTAGGAACATTGAAAATTAGGCTGTTCTTAACCATTATTTTGAAAAAACAATGCATATTAAATTCATACAAACATATATTAAACTATTGGCAGATATATACTGTAAGTTAAGTTGTGATTTTGTTAACATATTACAGAAGCTGATAAAGCACAGATGGAGGCGGGGTTTTTGACACCAGACAGTGTAAATGGTTTCACTACACCCATGGCTAACACTCCATCAGTGTCACAGTATCATACCCCAGCAGGTACTCCAGATGCTGTTAACAGTAACTACCCAGTGAATGTCATAAAGTCAGCAAATGAACTTTTTATTGAGGGTGACAGTCTACATGACGGAGCTTCCTGCTCTAGTTCAGATACTACCAGTCTGGCAGGGAGTATAGGGGAGTTTGGTGAAGGTGTGTCTTCAATGGTACCACCTCCCCCGGCTCCACCCCCTCCACCTGGAGTCCCTCCTCCACCCGCTCCACCTCTTCCAGATTCAGTTACAAAAAAGAAAGGTATGATGAATAAAGATTTTCTAAAGTCAATATGTAATTAAAGATGATATAAAACTAAACCAGTTAGTAGGTGATTTTATAAACAAATTATTTTTCTAAAGTTAAAGCTTGATGTTAAAAAGTTACAGCTATATAAAGAGATAAGATAATTTAGTTCCACTCCTTTCATGTTGATAATACTGCACTCATATATATAAACATTATAAAGTGAAGTTATGAGATGATAATGTTTGTATTACAGCATTAAAGCCAGTTATCAATCCAGTGTCACCAATGAGGCCATTATTCTGGAATAGAATACAAGTGAATGATATCAAAACACCAAAACATAAAGAGTAAGTATTACCTTCTTAACAACAAAATGATATAAGAACATTCCAAGTGGCAGTGCAGTGTATATATGCACATCTAAATTTAACATACTCTATTCAGATTCTTTTTATTTTAAAGGTTGAAGGTGGTTTTTTTTCTTAATTGATGTAAAGTGGCAGTCAAATGGTAATAAACCAGAATGGTAATCACAGTTTGATCCTTCTTAGCTCTTCCACGAACAATACCAATGCTCAATTAGATGGGACCTTAATTACCTTGGTCTCATGTTTTTGTGTTCACATTAACATTAAAAAAACCTGGGTCACCTCTTGGGGGCAACTGTAGTATAATGCATTTGAACAACTACACTTGCCAGTAAATAAATAAATCAAAAAAAGAAAAATTGGACACTGTTCCTGAGACTGTCCTTTAAAATTGAAGTGACATTTGATGGTAGAATTTGTAGTGCTAATTTGCGAATTTATTTTAGTGTTGCCATATACATAAGAGATCCATTGGAAAATCATGTTGTTTGTGGACTTTAATCACCATATGCATTGCTAACGTTTAACCATAACTATAGACAGTATATTTAAGGTCATTTGCACTTCTGGATGACTAGTCAAGTGCATTACCACTTTCCCAACACATATGACTAAATTACCATGAAAAACTGGTATCCAGCTCAACCAAACATGCTCGTGAATCAATTCAGCATACTAGTAAATGGAATTATTAATCTTGTTTAAAAATTGTTCTGCTATATTATTTATTTCATTTAGAATTATGTTTCTTTTTCATAATTTCATTTTATTGAGGTACTATCTTGTTTACAGATATTATGAAAGGAAATTGATATGGGAAGATTTAGAGGAAGAAAACATTGATGTGAATGAGTTAGATTCCATGTTCTCTAAGAGACATGTTGAACCTTCTCGTAGATTTAGTCCAAATAAACCTAAAAACAAAGCCAAACAAGTAAGTTTCACATACATTAATATGTTCTAGGTCAGCAAAAGACAATGAACTGTAACATTATTATTATTTAATTTTTTTTATCTGGTCATATTACAACATTTACCTGAAATAATGTTGCTAAAGAAAGAATCTTATACTAGCTATTTTTGTGTTTTAATGGTTACAAAATGGTGAAAATTATATTGCTCCTTTCCTTCATTAGTAATGGGACAGTAATCTAATGTTGTTATTTAATGCCAAGATTTCCTAGATGTATATAATAGAGTTGTATTTTTGTCTGTTTTCTCATTTTTTTTCAATGATGTGATATGATATATCCATTATAAATCAGTGCTTTATTTCAGCCATTTTCTTGAGCTGAGAAAAAAAACCTAATGTTTTATTTCAGCCATTTTCTTTAGCTGAAAATAAACCCCATTCCCATATCTCTGGCAAAAAATCTCCTCTCACAAAAAAGAATTTGTAAGCATATTTCCACAGAAAGTTTCATTACATGCGTTGACAGTTGCTTGCACTTTCCAGTACCATCCTAACAGTCTCAAAACAAACCTGCAACATTTTCAATTTTGACATTTTGGGTGTTCTTTAGGGATTCCTTTTTACTCAATTTTTAAGTTAAAAGCATGAGATAATGTTATATTAAAGTAGTTTTCTTTTTGATTTTGTTTTGTTCTGTAGGTAATTTTGTTAAACTGGTTTTATTTCAGGTTGCCAAAGTGATAGCTCCTAAAAGATCCCAAGTGATAGGAATTTTGTTATCTAGTCTTCGTTTTGAAATGTCAGAAATTGAACATGGTAAGTATTACATGTAGTTACATATCAGTGATATAGAAATATGCTGCAATTCATAAATATCTTTACTCTTTTTTAAACATTTATTGGCAGTCCATATAAAAAGTATCTGTATTTGATGAATTACTTTTTAGCTTAACTATTTGAAGAATAGTAGGACTTACATACTCACCCAGGGCGTCTGTGTTGGCAGAACATTTAAGATTACTGGATCACTGAGCAAGACTTCTAACTAAGTCATGTATTTTGAATGAAATCTCCTTTATTATTAGTTCCTATAGTATCCAGGTTCTTGTTTTACTATTGTACAGTCAAACATGTAGTAAGCAACCGTGCAAGGGAAACACCAAAAATGTTGTTTAACGAAACGGTCTCGTAAGACAAAGCATGAGAATGTTTTTATATAAATGTTATAACGCTCCGATCATCTCAGTTGATGCTCAAGTAGAAAATAACTGTCTGACAAAACAGTTTTGGTCCATTATGTACATGTTTGACATTTTCTCAGAAAATTCAAGCTACCATACCTACTCTGTTGCTTCTCGTCCCAGACACATAAAGTCTAATTTGTGCAGATGCTTTCTGTGGTGAATTTATCATTTGAAATAAGCAAACTGCATCTAATTGAAACAATTAATTTAATAGCTGATCAAGTTCAAGAACAATTTAATGCAGTCTAAATATCAACAGCGAAGCATATACACCACCTCAGTAGGGGCTGAGCGTTGCATTGTTCTATCGATTTTATTGGATAATACACGTCATATGTATAATTAATTTCATTTACAAACGCTAAAAAATGGTTTGGGAAATAGAGTTTTTCACGCATTTATTTATTGTGTTTTGATTGCTGACACTTGTGACATTACGAGGCGGCTTTCTCTAAAAACACAAGCAGTTGACAGGTAGGAGCACTTTTAAAATCTGTACGCAGTAAAATCCGTGTTTTATAATCCTAAGTGGTCGCATGATGAAAAGATTGATACAATTAATTGACTAATTAGCAGTTGCTGGTCACGTTGAGCAAATGTGGCTTAATACATGAAAGATATATAGAGAAAATGATTGGGGGGAATTCACAGTGGTCGCATAAGACAAAAGTCGCTTAATACTGGAGGTCACATACGCAAATTAAGATCATCATAAAACTAGCCTATTTGTATAAGATATCCATTGAATCAGAACTTAAAATAAATATTTTATCTGTTTTAGCAATAGTGACGTTTGATACATCACAGCTTCCGGAAGAAAAACTACGCCAAATTTATGAAATTGTAAGTTTTACAGTTCATGTTACTAATTATAGAATTAACATTTTTTATTCTCTTTAAACATATCATAAGTGATTTGCTGTGTATTAAATCATTGTTATTCTCGTATAAAGAATTTTTTTTTGTGCTTCCATAAATGAATTAAAATTTGGTAATGTAATTTATCTGATATGCAATTTCCCCAAACTTTTTTGCTGAGTTTAAGTATAACCATGGAGTTGAATAGAGTGTATGTATATCTGTGGTATAACTAGTTATATTTATATCGTATATCTATATTTAGATACATAAATATATTATACATGTATATGAGAATATCCTACTTGTGGCTGAAAAAATGCATGGAGGACCACCTGAGGTCTTCCTTCAACTAAGTTGCCATAAGACTTTAACAGTGTGGGTTTGACTGAAACCCAACAGAAAAATATATAATAATGAGTCTTTAGAGAATAAATGTAAGAATGTATTTATGTTACAGAGAGGGGATAATGATGAGTTAAAGAAGATTAAGGAACATCTAAAGAAACATCCAGACACTCCATTAGATAAACCAGATCAGTAAGTTGTTAACCATTAATCTGCTGGAACACAGTGATTAACCTTTACCACCAAGTATACAGCAAGGCTAGTCTGTACTTATGTTACAATTCTGTATAACTAGACCAGTGGAAATATATTTATGATACTGAATGACTTCTGCATCTTCCAATTAAATTGACCCATCAGTATCACAGTCATTCTTGTTAAAACCACTGGCCTCCAGAAGGTAAAATGAAAAATATCCGTGGGCTTCAAATTTTCGTGATCTTCGCGAATTCATGTTTAGCGCGAATATTTCTGCACCAATAATTTCTTAATAGTCATATGTTCGCGCATCTGTAGAACAGTCTATATCACCATGTTATATGCTTTTAATACATACAATTTTATTTAAATGTTTACTGAGTAATTGTGTTTTGTTTTCCAAGTTTTTCATCAGTTAAAATCGTTAATGTTTGTGTTTTTTGTATTGTTTGTTAGAAAAAACAAATATGATCTGCTTATATGTCAAGACGTTCATGACGCAGTCTGTGAAAAATCATGCATGTTAAAGGACATTCTTTTGTTTGCTATAATCTGCCAGCTAGACAATGTCTTTTTTCTGTACAATAGCGTATTGGTTGACACCAGGTATTGAAAATAACAGTGAACTCCCATGATGATTACAGTAATTTCCCTAATTTTTGGATTAGTGGTATACGCAAATTTATGATTTTCGGCAGTCACCTCTGCAAATTCAACATAGCGCGAATATTTGTATAGACCCCCAAATGGTCCTCTACGCAAAAATTTGCTTCCGCGAAAATACACATACAGTAGTTATTATTATTTTATTGCAGAAATTTGGTTTTATGTTTGTTTCAGATTTTTATACGACCTTTCATTAATACCAGACTATGCAGAGAGAATATTTTGCTTCATATTTCGTGAAGCATTCCAAGAAAGCATTTATGTGATAGAAACCAAAATGACAAATCTTAGAATGACTTGCCAGGTAATATTTCTTGTTAGTTTTCATTCCTTTTCTTATAAAGTGAGTTTACTGACATTTATTTGATAGGATATAAACAAACATGATGTATATATGACACAAATTATGATATCTGTGTGATAAACATCTTAATCACAGAAAATGTGGTGTAAAAGTGTAATAAAGCCATTTAGTTTAAATGATATTACACTAATGTAATAACACTTTGAAGTGACATCATTTGCATTATATACAAACATAGCGTTAAAGCGCGCTAATGTAAGCCTTACACTATTATGCGGGTCAATGAAAAATGACTCTTTTTAGCATTGTTAACCATTCTTATTTTATGTGTATGATAAATAGAATATTTTATTAGTCCCCTACCGGTTTACCGGAGGGGACTTTAGGTTTACCCTCCGTCCGTCCGTCCGTCCGTCCGTCCGTCCGTCAGTCCGTCCGTCCACAAAACTGGATCCCGCAATAACTTGAAAAGTACTGAAAATATTTTTATGAAACTTGGTATATGGATAGATGGCAGTATGGAGATTATGCACGTCTTTTTCTTTTCTTCCTATGTTGAAAATTCTGGTTGCTATGGCAACAAATAGGCTGAAAATATGGCAAATTTTACACATAAACTGGATCCAGTGATAACGCAAAAAGTACTGGAAATATTTTTATGAAACTTGACATATGGGTAGATGGCAGTCTTGAGATTATGCACTTCTTTTCTTTTCTTCCTATGTTGAAAATTCTGGTTGCTATGGCAACAAATAGGCTGAAAATATGGCAAATTTTACACATAAACTGGATCCAGTGATAAAGCAAAAAGTACTGGAAATATTTTTATGAAACTTGACATATGGGTAGATGGCAGTCTTGAGATTATGCACGTCTTTTTCTCTTCTTCCTATGTTGAAAATTCTGGTTGCTATGGCAACACATAGACTGAAAATATGGCAAATTTTACACATAAACTGAATCCAGTGATAACTCAAAAAGTACTGGAAATATTTTTATGAAACTTGACATATGGGTAGATGGCAGTCTTGAGATTATGCATGTCTTATCTGTTCTTCCTATTTTGAAAAAATATCAGTTGCCTAATGGCAACAAATAGGCTTAAAACATGGCAAATATAACAATATTTGTGATTATAGTCAAAAAGAGCTAAACATTTTTATGAAATTGCATCTTTAATTCAAGAGTTATCTCCTGTTTAAGAATTTTGCTTTTAAAATGTTATATTTTGGTAACAGGGATGTTTCAAATATTAACTTTAGAGTGTCCTTCAGTCCGTCTGTCTTGTCTGTTCATAAAAACTGTTTCCTGTGATCACTTTTAAAGAACTTTTCCAACAAATTTACTTAAAATAGAGAAAAATTGAAACATTAGTGAATGGCCCTTCAGAATGTTGATGGGGTTCTAACCGGTAGGGGACTTATGGATTGCTTGCAATACTATGATAATTGCTTGTTTATGTAGATTCAATATTTACTTTATTAAACTCGTTAAGTAAAACAATATTATGCTTTCTAGAGGCTCGCATAATTTTATTTTATTCAACTTGTTGAATAAAATATTGTATTAAACCTACACTCATTCAGTATCCTCTATACATTACAATAAAAAGACTTTTAATCATGATAGGACTTTGAGGTTTTTGCATTGTGATCACTGGTAAGATCCCTGTAAAATCTTAGATTTAAAGAGCAACAATTTTATTATTATATCTACACATTTACATCAAACAAAGAATTAATTGTATAATTTTGTGTTTCAGAGTTTACGGTCCAGTATACATGTAAAGAGATTACTAAGTCTTGTGTTAGCCATGGGAAATTATATGAACGGAGGTAATTTTAACTTCTATAATCATTACTATAAAATACAGTTTCAAAAATTATAGTTAAGTTTTTGGGGTTTTTTTTTATAAGTTTAATTTGTAGCATGACCGTAAATAACTATTGTCTTTATTTTTAGGCAGCAAATCTCGAGGTCAGGCTGATGGATTTGGTATAGATATTCTTCCAAAACTTAAAGATGTTAAAAGCAAGGTAATAATTGATGGAAAATGAAGTAATAAAAATTACAACTTTAATATTTCATTGACATCTTTTCATGCCCACCCTGCATATAGTAATTTAAACAGTCTGTCTATCTGTCTGTACGATCTTAACCTTAACCAGCAAGTTAGATAAATCTTAAGTTCTACCTGTACCAATAACTTCTTAATATACACACTTACCTTAGAATGAAGTTGAATTCACTGATTTCAAAGTAAATGACTTAATAAATATTTGACCTGGGAAGACATGAACAGGGAATAGAAACATCATATTGATTAAGGACAGCTTGTCATCCAAATCTACTTTGTCAACTTACATACATGTATCTGTTGTTAAAAAATTTTTTTGACTGAGTTAATAGGAAACCTTTTTAGCAAATTGGTAACTAACTAACAAGAATAAGCACTGGTTGCATATGTATTTACCTATTTGTAGTCTAAGGATAAGTCCTTGGATAAATGTGAACATGCAGGTACATACTGCTTTCATGTATATGTGAAAGAAACAAAATATGATGATTAATCTAAACATATGTATATATAATATTTCTTGAATTTTAGATTTACATACTTTACTATGACATGAAATATTTTACAGGACAATTCTACAAGTTTATTACACTACACTGTACAGCAATATATCAAAAAGTATGAGCGGCAAGATGCTGGTACTGATAAAGTAAAATACCCTCTACCTGACCCCAGTGATCTCACCCAGGGATGCCAAGTCTGTTTTGATGAATTGGAGAAAGAGCTACGCAGAATAAAAAAAGATTTTGAATGTATGTATATATATATTGAGTTATAGTTACTTATTTTAGACAATTAGTCATATGATATTGTTTTAATCTTGGTATAGATAGCTGAACAAATATATTAACATGGAAAAATACATGTAAAGCAGCTGTCAGTTTTGTTTCAACTTTAAACATCACATTTAACTCTGATTCTATATCAAGTCAAGCGTATTGACTTAATAAAGAAAAGCCAAGATAAAACTGAAATTTTCCACACACTGTGTTTTTTGCCCTCCCATCTTTCTTTTTATACATGGTAAATTCCATTTATTCCTATCTTTCTATGTATACCTGGGAAAAAAATCCATTTCTTCCAGTATTTCTGTTTCTGTATTTCAAGGTAAAATCTTTTTCTTCTTGTATGTCTATCTACACATGATAAAGTCCATGTCATCCTGTATTTCTGTTTTTAGCTCGCCTATACGAAGTATATGGAGAGCTGTCCTACTCGCCCCAGCGTCGGCGTCCGCGTCCGGGTCCAGATTTCAGATTAAAGTTTTGGTGCAGTAAAATATTTTTCACTATAACTTTGTCATTTCTTTAGGTATCAACTTCAAATTTCAAATATATGTTCCTTATCATCAACCACATCTTATGTGACAAGGTTCATAACTCTAGCACCAATATTTTCAGATTTATCTCCCCTTGAACTTAGAATTTTCCTTAAAAAATACTATTTTTTACTGTTACTTCTTTATTTCTTAAGGGATCAACCTCATACTTCAAATATATGTACCTTTTCATCATCCCCATCTTATGTGACAAGGTTCATAACTCTAGCACCATTATTTTTAGATTTATCTCCCCTTGAACTTATGATTTTCCTTAAAAAATACTATTTTTTACTGTTACTTCTTTATTTCTTAAGGGATCAACCTCATTCTTCAAATATATGTACCTTATCATCATCCCCATCTTATGTGACAAGGTTCATAAGTTTAGCACCAATATTTTCAGATTTATCTCCCCTTGAACTTAGAATTTTCCTTAAAAAATACTATTTTTTACTGTAACTTATTTATTTCTAAAGGGATCAACTTCATACTTCAAATAAATGTACCTTATCATCATCCACATCTTATGTGACAAGGTGCATAACTCGAGCACCAATATTGCAAGAATTATCTCCCCATCAACTTAGATTTTTTTTTACTAGAAAAATGTTATTTTTTACTATAACTTTTTCAGTTTTAAAGGTATCTACCTCAAACTTCAAGTACTTATTCCTTATAATCAATTATATTTTATGTGACAATGTTCATAACTATTGAAGTAATTTTTACAGATTTATTTCTCTTTGAACTTAGGATTTTCTTTAAGAAATATTATAACTTTGTTACTTTTTAAGGTATCTACTTCAAACTTCAAATATATACTTCTTACCATTACATACATGTTGTGTGACAAGGTTCATAACTCTAGCGTGACTATTTCTAGAATTATTTCCCTTGATCTTGGAATTTATTTTAAAAAATGTTATTTTTTTACTATAACTTAAATTAAATTATTCTTTCATAGTTTTGTCCTCCTTACTGCGTCCAGTATTTTATTAGTCGAGCTTGGCTGTCTCCTGTGACAGCTCTTGTTATAGCATATAGTCTATTTCTTCATGTTTTGCTGTTTATATAGGTTAAAGTAGTTTTTCTAAGTTTTACAGAAAATACTTTCAGCTGCTGAGGAGAGAGCAGAGAAGGTGATAAAGTCAGCACGAGAGCATGCGTATTTACAACCATTTAAGGACATCATGACAGCATTCTTTGAAAAAGGTGGGTTTATATAGTGATATCTTACTTACAGTGAGAAACTTCTAGAAAATAATTAAGGAAGTAAAGCTAAAAGATTATAAGTGATAGAAGATGCTTATACAAATGTATAAGACTCCTAGACATGAAATAGAATCATAAGATTCTACCAAGATGAACAGCTGTTCTGACGTAAACTTAATGAATATTAATCAGCAACCACAAAGCTTTGACCAAAAAGTGTAAAATCCATGTAAAAACCAGAAAAACAAACAAGCATAAAAAGAAGTAGTTTTTTGTTCACTAGTATATATATCCTAGAAAACTTGTTACACTTTTTAGCTTGCCTGTCACTTTGTGACAGGGCGAGCTTTTGAGATCGCTTTTCGTCCGTCTGTCCGTCGTCCGTCCGTCATAAGTAAACTTTTACTTTAAATGACATCTCCTCATAAACCACTAAGCCAATTTCAACCAAACTTCACAGGAATGTTCCTTTGGTGGTCACCTTTGAAAATTGTTCAAAGAATTTAATTCCATGTAGAACTCTGGTTGCCATGGCAACCAAAAGAAAAAACTTTAATTGTCTTCTTCTAAATAACCCAAAGAGATAGAGCTTAGATATTTGGCATGGAACATCTTCTAGTGAGTGTCTACCAAGTTTTTTCAAATAAAAGCCCTGGGGTCAAAATTGGCCCCGCCCCAGGGGGTCATTGATTTTTTCCTATATGTATATAGTAAAAATTAAAAAATCTTCTATTAAAGAACCAAAAGAGCTAGAGCTATGATATTTAAGATGAAACATCTTCTAATGGATGTCTACCAAGTTTGTTCAAATAAAAGCCCTGGGGTCAAAACTGGCCCCGCCCCAGGGGGTCATTGATTTTTCCTATATGCATATAGTAAAAACTTAAAAATCTTCTTTTAAAGAACCCAAAGAGCTAGAGCTAAGATATTTAGCATGAAACATGTTCTAATGGATGTCTACCAAGTTTGTTCAAATAAGAGCCCTGGGGTCAAAATTGGTCAAGCCCTGGGGGACATTGATTTTCCTTATATGTGTATAGCAAAAACTTAAAAATCTTCTTCGAAAAAACCTGAATAGCTAGAGTTTAGATATTAAGCATGAAACATCTTCCAGGAAGTGTCTACAAAGATTGTTCAAATAAAAGCCCTGGGGTCAAAACTGGCCCTGCCCCAGGGGTGTCATTGTTTTTAAATATATGTGTAAAGAAAAAACTTAAAAAATCTTCTTTTAAAAAACACAACAAGCTAGACCTCAGATGTTTAGCATGAAACATCTTCTAATAGGTGTCTACCAAGTTTGTTCAAATAAAAGCCCTGGGGTTTAAACTGGCCCCTTCCAGGGGGCCTATATACAGGTGAGCGACTTCAGGGCCATCATGGCCCTCTTGTTTGTAAAAGGTAGCATATTAACCAGGACATAAGATAAGGTCAGGGTCACTTTTACTAAAAATAGAAAATTATAAATCAATTATATTGCACATAGTTACATTGTACATTGCTTCTTTTTGAATTACAACTAGAACAAAGCTTTATTCAATGGTGATAATTGAAAATCTCTATGTTTCTTGTTTCTTTCAAAGATATTTTGCATTCCTTAGTTATAATTTGGTAGGATTCAGTGATCTATTTTATACACACCAAGGGCTGGAAATGAAACTGATAAACTCATACAACATAAAAAAGGACTTACAATTATTTCGCACCAAGCTTCAGTATGAATTTATCAAAATAAATCTAATCTAATGGGGGATATATAGTATTAATATTGATAATTTTATAATTGTTTTGTATCTTACAGGAAAACATGATCTAATTGAACAAGAAGAAAACCTGACAGACGGCAAAAGATTGTAAGTATTAGCTGCATGTCAGGCATTTATGTGGTGAAATTAAATACATCAGTTGTTGAGTTTTATTGTATGATGTATACTGTACAACCTAAGATTACCAGCAAGTCAACAGGGATGCATTTTTTTACATTGCTAAATCAATTAACATAGTTGAGATATTACAAGTAAGGTGCATGGGTATATATTTACTTTTGTATACAGGTTTAAATGTTTGTCGAAAAGATGTATATGCATGAATGGCCTTGTAAGTTACATTTAATTGCAGATACTGTAAATTTGTATGAAATTTATATAAAAATTTGGAACATCCTATGTAAAACTACTGTAATTTGTCATACATGTAGAATCATTTTAATTAATTCATTAATTTTTATTTCCACAATGTGTATTTAAATTGCACAGTCATGAACCTTTCTTGTGCTGTAAATACATTTTATATACATTGTGATAAACATCCAAAAACATAAAATTTAAATTAGATAATTTATCCTTTGTATAATTGTTAAGTGTGAATTGAATCATTGAATTATCTCCCACACCTGTGGATGTTTTATTTTGTTTATATAAACTAGCACCTGTTTGTTGCATTGATCTATGCTGTAGATTTCTATAATTAATTAAGCATTTTACACAACCATTAAATTTTCCTGAATTCGTTCATACATTAAGTTTTAGATTTAAAACAAATTGAGAAAATAAAGAAAATGAGAAACAGTTCTTGCTGTTGTGGTGTTTTTTTTTCTGTAGATTTAACATAAAAAACTAATTTAAATTTCAGATTTCAAGAAACTGTATTATTTTTCTGTGTAAAGCCTAAGAGTGGAGATAAAGAAGTAACACCGGAATATTTTTTCTCATTATGGTGTACGTTCTGTCAAGATTTTAAGGATCACTGGAAACGTGAAGAACAAAAGATAATCAAGCAGAGGTTTGTTCTTTTATTACTTTATAAAGATTTCATTTCTTTCTTATGAAACAAGATATCATTGTAGGTCGAGCTGTAGATTATATGTTGATGCTAGGAATTTTAGCATGTTACCTTTCATATGAAACAAAACATTTTATAAAAATACTCTTGAAATATTGAAACAATAAATCTGACACATGAAATAATTAACCGCCTCCGTGGTTGAGGGGTTAGAGTCGATGACTTCTAATCCAGTTACCTCTCTGGCGTGGGTTCGATCCCCGGGAGATGCTTTGGTAGTTTAGCGCGGAGGAAGGTAGCCTAGTACTGGTGTAACTCTCCAGGAACGATGGTTAGGAAACTACCCGCCTATATGACTGAAATATTGTTGGGAAAAGGCGTAAAATGAAACAAACAAACAAACAACAAACATGAAATAATTATAACACATGAAATTATTCTTATGAAATATTGCACATGCAAATGCAAGAGATTTCAGGGACTTTGAATTCTTTTATGTATGGAAGCTTACCAGCTAGCTTACAGAACGTTGGTTCTACACATGTGCCCGTTTGTGCCGGAAATATTGCAAGGAGGGGCACCTGAGGTCTTTCTCCACCAGTAAATTCTGAAGTTTGTTTCAATGAAAACCCCAACAAAAACAAAACAAACTAATACAAAAAACAAACGCATGAATCATATTTATTAAAACAATCGTATAAAATATATTAAAAAAATGATTGTAACCTTTTGAATACAAAATAATATTTTAAGATATAAAATGCAACACATATAATATTACATGTGAAATGCAACACATGAAATATAAAACATGAAATATTAGACAGAATAACACATGAAATATTAGATAGAATAACACATGACATATAAAACATGAAATATTAGATAGAATAACACATGAAATATTAGATAGAATAACACATGACATATAAAACATGAAATATTAGATAGAATAACACATGACATATAAAACATGAAATATTAGATAGAATAACACATGAAATATTAGATAGTATTACACATGACATATAAATTATGAAATATTAGATAGAATAACACATGACATATAACACATGAAATACTAGATAGAATAACACATGACATATAAAACATGAAATATTATATTATTTATTTTTGAATTGTCAACAACAATCTACTGAAACTTGATTTTTTTACATTATGAACATTATGTTATTATTATGTTAGTTTTAAAAAAAAACACTTGTAAATTAAGGGATATATTTTAAAATATTCTTTTAAAATTTGGCTATTTTAAATTGTACAGTTGAGATGTTACACACCGATGTGATTTAAGTTTAACTTTACTAACTAAACATTTAATAGAAAAGTAGAAAGAAAACAGCATATAATTTATGTTGTTGAAAGTTTTAAAATCATCTTGTTGTTTTATGTCCAGTACTGGGGTTACTGTACTCAATAGTCTGTCATAGTTACCTTTAAAGATACAAAATTATGTACTTTTCAAATGATAACTTGTATTAGAAAATGATTATTATCGATTTATTTGGAAAAAAAATACACGATGTTTCATGAAATAATATATAAAATATGCATGCAAATCTTTTCCTGCCTAGAAATTGTAAAATATGGAAATATTTTCTATGCATCTTACAAAGTCACATCATCTGAATGGAGAATGCATATACATGTATGGCTTTTAGATTGCCCAGTGTTAGTTTTTCACATGATAATGGTCCTCTGATATACACACCACAGCTTACATTTCTAACTTAAAATCTTTATACAATAAAACATTGCACTGGTTAAAAAAATATTTCAGGATAAAAGTGCTAAATATCTATTATGCTGGTATTTCTGAAAGCAAGACATGTATTTATCATGTAGTTTCATGTAAATATATGAACCTGTGGTGTAATTTTATCTTTTGATGAAACTTTAATATAGAAACTTTCAAACCAGCATTTGGTAGCTTAAATTAAAATATGTTGAGCGAGCATGGAGTAAACTCTATGTTTATTGTCACAATTGGGTGTTTGGTGTTTGTCTGTGCTTGAACAGCCTTCTGAATTTGTATGTCGGTCAACTTAACCATTTGGTAATGAATAAGGACATTTGTTTGTCTCTTACAGGTTAAGTGACTGCATTTTTTCATGCATTCAGTAATTCTCATATAGCTTTCTACAAATGTTTGGCCTTATGAATATACCAGATTGGCTTTGCTAAAAGTAAAGGTGGTCCTACCTGGGAATTATGGTCAAAATCATGGATTCTTTGATTGTCTGAGCTTTAACTTTTTAGCTCACCTGTCACAAAGTGACAGGGTGAGCTTTTGTGATCGCTTTTCGTCCGGCGTCCGTCTCGCGTCCGTAAACTTTTACTTTAAATGACATCTCCTCATAAACCACTAAGCCAATTTCATCCAAACTTCACAGGAATGTTCCTTTGGTGGTCACCTTTGAAAATTGTTCAAAGAATTTAATTCCATGCAGAACTCTGGTTGCCATGGCAACCAAAAGAAAAAACTTAAAATATCTTCTTCTAAAAAATCCAAAGAGCTAGAGCTTAGATATTTGGCATGAAACATCTTCTAGTGAGTGTCTACCAAGTTTGTTCAAATAAAAGCCCTGGGGTGAAAATTGGCCCCGCCCCAGGGGGTCATTGATTTTCCCTATATGCATATAGTAAAACCTTAAAAAATCTTCTTTAAAAGAACCCAAAGACCTATAGCTAAGATATTTAGCAGGAAACATCCTCTAATAGGTGTCTACCAAGTTTGTTCAAATAAAAGCCCTGGGGTCAAAATTGGCCCCGCCCCGGGGTCATTGATTTTCCCTATATGCATATAGTAAAAACTTAAAAAACCTTCTTTTAAAGAACCCAAAGAGCTAGAGCTAAGATATATTAGCATGAAACATGTTCTAATGGGTGTCTACCAAATTTGTTCAAATAAGAGCCCTGGGGTCAAAATTGGCCATGTCCTGGGGGTCATTGATTTTATTTATGTGTATAGCAAAAAATTAAAAAATCTTTTCTTTGAAAAAACCCAAATAGCTAGAGGTAAGATATTAAGCATGAAACATCTTCCAGTTAGTGTCTTCAAAGTTTGTTCAAATAAAAGCCCTAGGGTCAAAATTGGCCCTGCCCTGGGGGACATTGATTTTCCTTATATGTGTATAGCAAAAACTTAAAAATCTTCTTTGAAAAAAACGAAATGGCTAGAGTTTAGATATTAAGCATGAAACATTTTCTAGTGAGTGTTTTCAAAGTTTGTTAAAAAAAAAGCCATAGGGGCAAAACTGGCCTTGCCCTAGGGGTGTCATTGCTTTGAACTATATGTGTATAGTTAAAACTTAAAAAATCATTTTTTAAAAAACTCAACGAGCTAGACCTTAGATGTTTAGCATGAAACATCCTGTAATGGGTGTCTACCAAGTTTGTTCAAATAAAAGCCCTGGGGTTTAAACTGGCCCCGCTCTGGGGGCCTATATACAGGTGAGTGACTTCAGGGCCATCATGGCCCTCTTGTTTCATTATCCCTCATGTGCAGACACAATCAGAGTCTACAATTTTCATGTAATTTTGTTGTTTTTAATGTTTCCAAGGGATCACTATTCTCCAGATATTTATTGAGAAATGGGAAAAATTATGGCTGAGGGTATTTTATAGAAATCTGACTCATAAAATTAATAGCTATGTAAAAAGAAGATAAATGTTAAAGAGTAATAATATTCTTCATACTTGATATATTATTTCCATTGAATTTTATAATTTTTCAGTGTCAGTTTGCTAAGGATAAGGCAGGTCACTATGCATGTCTTATGCATACACTAAATTGTTACTGCAGTTGTCTTTTCTTGTTGTGAAATATTTTGATTGTGGAAAAAAACTACTGTAACAGATAGACAGAATGTTCTAGTATTTTGTTAATCTGTTGCTTATTATTTTACTGCAGAGATTTATACTCAGATTCCTGTCTTCCATTCAGCATTATTAAACAATAGTTTTGTCTGGAGTAGAATTCTTTAGCAATTAGCACAAATTATGTTATGTTGTGCCGTTTAAAGGTACATACGTATTTTGTAAGTTTTTTTGTTGTTTTTTTTCAGCTGATAAGTTTTTGTTTCTTTAATAGAGTACACAATCTGTCCTTTGAAAAGTGATGTTTTCCCTTTGTTTACATTTAACTATAATATATGTTTCTTATTTTCGAGAGTGCAACAAAATTGTAAATTAGGCTTCAAAGGTGTGAATGTTTATCAGAGAGAGAGGGTGTTAATTAACGAGTTGGAATGCTAATTATTTGTAATAGAGTTATGAGTTTGTTAATGTAGTTTTATATTTGAAATATTATATGGTACTAAAATATTTTGCATGTAAATGAAACTGTTAATAACTTATTTTATTGTGTTTGTACCCTGTAAATGCTTCGTTATAATGAGTATTTATTACAAACATAACATGTACCCTATATCTATCATCTAATAAACATTTTATTTTGCCACATGGGGATATATATCTGCCAATTTTCACCAATAATTTGCTTTTATAGAAGATGCGTGAAATCTTGTATAAATTAGTGAAAGGTTATAAAAATATTTCATGAATCTTTTGATCTAAGTTGTATAAACACTTTCTTGTTTTAGTGTTAACATTTTGTATCTCCTTTTAACTATGGTATCCAGATCTACAGAATCTTGCTGAGAATATAAAAAAAAACAAAAAGCAAAAAAAAACCGTATTTAGTATACTGTTTTATTAAGATATAGATATTGTTATCTATACAATAAGTTGAATATAAGTTGAATATAAGTTGTTTACATTTTGTAAATTTAAGGCTTATTCATTCTTAGCAACCTCATTTCAGTCCAGTGTATATAACAGTTCGATGTAATTTTTAACTAATGTATATCAAAACTTCTTGGTATAAAAAACACATCCAAATTACCACAGATTACAATTTTATATTATCATTTATATTACAGTACTCATTGTTTACAAAGCAAACCTCCTGTGAAATT